TTTGATCCTTGTTTCATTCTATTCTGATTAGTTTAGTATCTATATTTCCTCTACCTAACTAATTGCACTCAGTTTTGWCCTGTAGTARACGTTGGATTTTTTGTCGTTCCGCAATTCTGTMATTTTCTTCTGYCTTTGTTACTCGCAAAGTTWTATGAATGAAACCACTAAATAAACTAACAAAACCACTCTATATCAGTCTACCTTGACTTCCTTGAATATCGTTCGTCTAAGTATGAATTCAAACTGTTATACACGACAATTCTGAACTCGGTGATGTGTCATGATTCAAATATGCAGTAATTAACAGTCAATGGATATRCAATCAAGTCCGAGGACACAGGAACCCCGTCCATAGRCAATGTAAAGCGACGCCATTTTGTCCAACAAAATGCAGCAAAGCATGATGGTAGTTGTAGAACTCGCACTTACAGATGTTATTTAAAAATATCTCTTKAAAAGCTTCAGCTTTCTATTTAAAAACGATAAGCAACACCTATTTTGTCTTAGAAAAAGCAAAAACATTTCAGAAGCCGGACTGTTTTAGCGGACATGAAAAAGTACGAGGACTACAACTACCATCATGCTTTGCTGCACAAAATGGCGTCGCTGCACAGTGCATATTAAAAAAGGCAACAAAGTAGATTTTATAATCGACGTTGTTATAGTTTATGCGTTATCCAGAGCTGAAATAATCTCCTTTGTTCCTTTGGGCTTCCTGTTCCTMTCCATAGCTATCTGACCAAAATTCTGATTTTAGTTTCAGACGATAATAAATCAAACATAAAAGATAAATTACTCAAGTTTATCACAAGRCGACCGACTATTGATGAATTAGAAAAGAAAGGAATTTTGAAAGGTAATCATTGGATTAAAATGTCGTTTCAACCTCACTACTTTGTTAACAACTTTCCTCAACCACTATCCCCAAGAGCGTTGTCTATCGATGAAATCTTGTGATACTTGTCAAATAATTTTGTACATTTTATTGTTACAGAGCAAACGTTTGGTTGCCCAATACAGCATCTTTGTGATAGGGAGAAGGTCACCGTTCCAAATTTCGTTACGTCGTGTATACAGGCTATTGAACAGAGAGGTTAGAACTTAAACTGCTGCTGGTCTTTCACTGTCTGTTTTTTGTCATTTTATATGTATTTCAATGTCTCACCGTGTTGTCTGTCTGTCTGACTCTGTATTGCTTGTTCTTCTCTGTAATTGTCAATTTTATGTGTGTGTCTTAGTTCTTTATGTGTCCGTCAGATTGACTCGCTGGTTGTTTGAAAGTCTCAAGCGTCACGCGAGGGATTATGGGGTATCTATTATTTTATTTCAAACAAAACAACAGACATTCCATGATACTTCGCGGTCGGACGACCAAGCTCTTAGGTTTCTCAACGACAGTATTAATGAAATTAGTTGTATCTCACTGAAGGTTTGACATTTGATGGTCTTTATCGAGTCTGTGGCAACGTCTCACTAGTTCAACGTATCAGGATCAGTACAGATCAAGGTATGGCACGTTTGGTAACGTTAGCGACCTTCGTGCAGTTTTCATGATATTCTCTTTTTTTATTCAGAGGAGCCCATTCAACTTGGTGTAAAGCCATTTGATGACGTCCACGCCCTTACAGGATCCCTCAAACTGTATTTTAGAGAGCTTCCCGAGCCATTGGTTCCATTTGATTTCTTTAGTGGATTCGTGGAAGCAATAAGTACGTATAACGGAACTGAGAAGAAGAGTTTGGGATGACAGAGAAACTACGGCTTTGTTAACCTCTCTTATCGTGTTTTAGCTCGTATAGATTAAAAACTCCTCCCATTTGATCAATAATTTTGCGTTATGATTTGTATACCAACCATACATTAATTTGGTCACAGAGCAAAACTCGAAGAATGCCAAACTTGGTGCACTAAAAAGTCTTGTTGGGCAGCTTCCCAAAGTCAACTATGAGACTCTCAAAATGCTTCTTGGTCATTTAAGCAAGTGAGTATTGCTAATAACGATATTTCCGACCACAACAATATTTCTCATTTGTTGTAGAATCAGTAATCCGCTCGGCCCTACCCAATCCCTTTAGGGCCACTACGCAGGCTATCAATAAGCGGAGAGCCTGTCCTTTTATCGTGTGACGTCGTGTGATTTCCGATGAATTGCGATGTGGGATATGACGAAAGTATGATCTAAAGTCGTGTGTGTCGGGTTTTTTGCTAACACCAAGCGTTGCTCCGACTGGTCTTAGAGTATATTTCATAGTATCCTTGATAACGAGCAGTTTTGGCTAAGAGATTTTGTCATCTTCGCTAGTAGTTTTTATATAAAAGCATCCGCCATCTTGATAATAGGGAACTTAAGATTTGACGAGTACGAGTTTCAAACCAGCTTTTATTGTCTGTGCATACTGGATTTCAATCCACTTCGTGTTTTTGTTTCGATGATGTTCCAATCTATTCACAGGAATGCAATTCATGATTAATAGCATACTTAAGGCCAATTTTAAAACTCGTACTCGTACTCAATCTCGTACTCGTTGTGAATTTTCATCAATACCGTGATGCACTTCGCCAAAACAAACATGACGTCACAAGGACTATTTTATACATACATCGACTCATTGATTTTTTTTTTCATGAATCACTTTCAGAGTGGAGCATGAATCTGAATCAAACAGAATGCACGCGCAAAACCTTGCAATCGTCTGGGGACCGAATATGATGCGGCCTCGTTATGAAGCAGCCAACATGGCGATGAACATGGTATATCAGAATCAAATCGTTGAATTCCTGCTGCTCGAATATACAGAAATATTCAAATGAATATGAATAAAGGTATAAGTATCATCCATTCGCCATACGAGTTCTGGTCTAGCCCAGCTATTGGCYTGTACAGTACTAGATGGAACCTCTCCTTACCGACACCTCTATACAACGGACACATTGATATTACGAACGTCTCTCTGTTCACTGATATCTCTAGTTTACCCGTTTACCAGTACAGTCGCCATCTTGAATTATGTTAACATTATGAGATCATGGTATCCAAGTTCCGTAAAACCAATAATTGTTATATCGGGAAGGATTGCTTTTTTGATAATTTCATGTTTTAAATTATGATTATTGCTTCAAAACACTTGATTTTCACAATTTAGAACATGACATTCTCAACGTTTTGCAGTATTTTAACTCGCCACCAGTGGAATTCAAGATGGTGGCTTTAGTGGTACTGATAAAACTATTTGCTTCAAAGCCTTGGGGAGGGAGGGTATATTCAGTCGGCAATAATTATTACAATTAAATCCCTCAAACTCAAAATAGCAAAAACAATCTAAAAGTTAAAAAATACCAAGGGAAGTATTTGGGATATTATCGCATGCAATCGTACTGACGCGGTGACAATCGTGTTTGAAAATTGKGAATATATTTTTTAGTGAGATCCATCTAGGAATGGAGAATCCAGGCATCATTGAATCAACTCAAGTAAAAAGAGTCAAATAGAATGAAGTCGTTGAACCCGAGAAACAAATGTTGGCTATTAGTCCACTGAATACAAACTCAATTAGAAAATTGAATTAGAGCGTACTGAGGTGTATTAGTGTAATATCTATTTCACGGGKTTTTTTTACTTCAGTCAACTTACTAAACAAGTACCAACACTAGAGTGTGCATTATTAATACCACTAAATTCTGCTAGACTGGACTAAATTCTATCTAAATTTAGTTTTAAACAGTGTAAAGTTTTGCACAACTTTAGAGTTTGTACAATTGCCATAGGTCTAATTAGTTAGCTATGGAGATTGCGCAAAGAGGACCCTTTAGAGTGAAGCCATTAAACCCGTGAAACAAAACCTGAATATTAAAGTGTGATAGTCAAATAGCCACAAAAGAGAACAATGCGATTAGTGCGTACTAAGTTGTATTAGTGTAATATCTATTTCACGTTTCTTTTGACGTCACTCCTCAAGTCGTGAAATATAAATTATAAATGCGAAATGTGTTTTAGATAACGGGAATATGGAAGATTTTTAATGATTTTAATTTTTAAGTAAATTAAGGTATTAATTCAAACGGGACGCATTTTTACACATTCTTTGTATACATCGTTCTCCTGCCCAACCACAGAATAGATAGATAGTCAATATGTCAATCTTTTCATGTACTAATCAGTCATGGGCTATTATTTCTTCCAAGGCCACACGGAAACAAAAATAAATATGTCTATTTTTAAATTGAATTTTTACTACGAGTTAMGCATAACATAATCAGAAAAAAGGGAAAACACATTAGAATGATATCAAGCGTTTATTCTGCGAAGTACGAGATTTTTATGAGTAACAAGCATACGGCATAAGACAGATGACAGAAGCGCAAGCATAAGACCAAGAGAAAAGGATAAACAATTTGGATCCTTRTAAGTTCATTATTGTTTGTGTCTAAAATTAGAGGTCTTTTGTATGTGCTTGCGTTTATGCTTGAGTCGCTGTGCAAGCGTAAGTGCGGAAAATGAAACGTAGGAAAGGCAAAAGTACTTCATTTTCTTTGTCGTCTGTCACCTATCCTTATGCTTATCTTATTTTCTAAATAATGACAAACGTTTTCCTTTTTTTCTGTTTTTGTTATACTTGTATCGTAGGTAAAACCAGGGTTACACGTGTCAATAGAAAAACGCAAACATTTTAGTACTGYCATATTTTACGTGACTTCGCAATTAAATACTGAAGTAAAAAGTCATATCATAAATAAATGTAGTTTATATACGTAAGTGTTTCAAGATCACATGGGCATGCACTCAAAACCAATCAAATGTTATGTCTCAAAYTCTAGAACATTCTCTTTCTATTAAAGAGATTTTGGAAACCTAATAGAAAATCTAGCTATATAATTTTCTTCATTTGAAAACTTGTACACTGTACGTTTCAACGGGCGCTTAGTAGACGTACGTGTATTGTATATAAGAATTAAAGTAACRTACTTAAATATAAGGGTATTGGAAGACAAGCGCAGTCATTTACAATAATTATTAGAATAATAACAAAGATCTTTTTTATATTTACTGTGTTCCTTGTCATTTATATGAAGTTGAAATGAGCTAGTGCGTGCTTATTAAAGACGTTAGTGGGGTGTGTACCAGGGGTGGGGGGCTTTTTGTGCACATCCCTCCCCCMTGTATCTTTTGTATCTTTGTAATTTCTGCCGCTATGAGCCTGAAATGTTCGCACAAGAGCGGATTTCGTATGACTGTGCAACGGCACGGATCACAACATGGGCACTGCACGGTYACGGAACCTCGCCTTCTGGGATTTCAAAATAGGGCGGATTTCGTATGACTGGGACACCGTTACCGCACGGTTACCGCACAGTTACCGGACCTGGCCTGCACAATTTTGGTGAACCAATGGGGCACTAGAATTTAGTTACAGTACGATTACGGTCACAGTACAGTACCGTCCGTTTCCCACTCATGCGAAATCAGCTTTAATCACTGACATGAAACGCATAATTATTACCGCACTAAGTTGACACGTAGGAGCTAAAGATGACTCCGTAATGACCGCGCCAATCATCCAATTTTTGGCGATAAATAGGAATGACATGAACAGGAAAGGGTCAGGAAATGTACGTTTCTTTGAAATGACGTCACAGTTACATGTGAGACGTCATAATTGGKGTGCCATTTCTGGAAACTAGTTTATAAAGTTTTTTGGACATATGCCAGAAAAAATGACGAATATGTTTTTTAATTGCATGGAGTACGCGATGCATGGTAGTGATATTATGCAACAGCAACTTCTCCAAACCGTGCCCAGAAAACGGAAGACGAGATATTCATTAACATTGAAAACATACAAAGATCTCTTGCTTTGGTGCAAATAATTTAATAAAATGATTACAATACATGGACAATTACAAATTGCAGAAAATAATAAGAGAAAACACACTTTACCAAATRAAATATGTCCGACTTATGTACAAGAGTTTCTTTATCTGACAGCCAGCAATATTACAGATTTGCTGTTAAAACAAAGAAATGCCTTTCMATTCTACAAAATTACATAACATTTGAGAGAATTAACTAAAATCTGACTATACAGAGCGTAATATAAATCTATAGATGATTTTTATTGACAATGTCTAAGGAACAGGTTGGTACTGTTCAACGCGTTCCAGAAGTCTTTCAGAGTAGCCTGGAGAGTAATATCTGAAGAAACAAAACACAAATTTGTTATAAACCAATGAAATTTTAGTTGTATATAATTTATGGTAACTTGTTATATTTCTTGTAACTTTGTATTGTGCTATCCACGAGTTATTTGGTGATGCGCTGATTTGTGGTTGGGTTCATTAATGAAATTGACTGATTACTTGATGAATAGAGTGGTTACATAGTGGACTGGCTGGTTAATTGAGTTCCCGTTGGCTATATAGTATTTGACTAATTGATGGACGCCCTGAATGACTGATTAATTCGTTAATGGATGGATTGGTTGACTAAATGATAAAATGATTGCTGTGTCGCACAGCATCGTCGACGTACAGGTTTGAAAACGTTTTTCGTTTTACACCTACTTCGCGAAGCAGACTTTTGATCAATTTGCTTCTTGCATAAGTTTCTTTCCTCGTAAAGGGGAATAAAAACTGCCTCTGTACTTCAACATTTCGTTGTGCAAATGCGGCCCTGATTACGATTCAACGTCTTTTACTTTGTGACAAGTAGTATCAGTCAGATGTAAAAAATGAAACATGTTGAGCGACAAGTTGCTGTTTTTTGTCACATTACGCCGTCTTCATTAATTGGACGACTAATTGATGATTGACTGATTGGTAGACTTATAATGATTAATGAACTATTCAGCCATACCTGACAATCTCTTCTGGATAGCAGTTGTTGATGGTATTGATGTATTCATGTAATGCGCTGCCTGGTTCTGCTTTAATTTCTTGCACTTTCTTAAGTCCTCCACTTGTCACAAACAATCGTCTTGCCTTTGCATCGTGGGGCAGCACCTTAGCAAACTGGCCCACAACATGCTTTAAGATGTTTGGAGGTGCATCGTGTAACAATGGTTCGAGTGCTGGTAGATATGTGCATTTTTGAAGAATGTTCTTGAGGGCTTTCTTGGACTGAAAGTCAAAGCTTTACGGTTAGATACTGTCTTCACTGATCTATCTGGAAGTACAACCAGGATTCTTACTACAACAGCTTTTATTTCGAGCAGCCATAGTTTAATATCAAATAATGGAACTTAAACATTTTCATAATGTCTACACCTCTATGTAACCAAGTAAGCCTTACCTTGGTAACAAGATCTTCAGAGCTGTCAGCATTTAAAAAGCAGTGGAGAAGTTTGGGCAATGTATTAGCAACTGCCACAGACTTAGCATGCTCTGGCGTGTGGCGTCCAATTTGACCTAAGGCCCATGCTGCTGCAGCCTGCAAAACAAAACAAAAAATAATATTAATCACAATAGCAAAATCTAAATATCATCAATAATTAGCCTCCCCTGCAGGCGTCTCTTTCCTTTCTAAAAAAATAGCAGTCTTCCTGTGTTAGATCAGAAAGAGGTCAGGACTAGTAACCTCTACCCCAGTCTCCTCTCTTCCCTTTTTTTTCCACGGGGTGACCTACGTAGCACACAGTTGATGTAATGTATTCATAAAATGTATTGTATTCCATTGTTTCTCGTTCTATTGTATTATGTGTTTTGTATTATATCTTTATGAATATATTACATCAACTGAGTGCTACGTAGATTCTCCCTATTTTCCACATGAAACTTGAAGTATAAAATAACTGGAAAATGAGACGTCTGCAGGAGGGCTAATCAACAAAAAGGGATAGGTACTAAGCAAAAGCCTTGTACTATTCTAACTATAATACCTGTATGTGATCTTCTTGCTCCTCAGCTAATGTTATTGACAGTTGAACAACACCCTGGAAAAAAAAACAATGATTTTAAGTATTTTAATTCTAGAATAGCTGCATCTAAGATGAATATTTTACCTTGGACACAATGACMGACATTGCTAAGTTCTCTGAATGAGCAGCAACATATCCCAGCATCATGACTCCTGGTAGGCGTACATTGCCTTGTCTCTCGCCRACATAATCAACAACTGCAGCAACTCCACCAGCATTTACAATAAGTAAAGCAAGCTGTGTTACAMATAAAAGARCCATATTGATCATTTCATYAGTAAATTTAAATCAATTTGTAATGCAACAGACCATTTTAATTCAAATGAACAGCATTGCAAAATTTTGGATCYGAACGTAAGCTCACCTCTGGAGTGTGTTTTGATATCTCGCGAATTAGTGTTGCAACATTTTTACAAACATATTCATCTTTGTCTGTAGAAGATAGAACAATATTATGTAAAAGTCAATCTTAACTGGAATTACAATCAAAGATTTTTCATTTTTTTATTCATTTGACAAGAAATACTTCACTTTCCTGATGCCATAACTTAAGTTTTGATATTAATTATTTAATATCACAAGTATAAACTATCACTGTTTCTATATTGTTGAATCTATCAATTTAGAAGAATCATATTATTACCTTTTAAGCATGACAATACAGCTGGAAAGATCTCTGCTTCGACAACCATTTCTGCCAGGTCTACAGAGTGCTTAGCAATTTGGCTCAAGGCAGAAAAAACTTGTCTCTGTTAATAAAACAAAATAATATGTAAGTGCACATTATTCATCATTATTTGAAGGGATGTAGGGGGCAACAAAATCTGTGTACACAAACAAGTAAATAAGAAATGCAAATCATAACTGACCTTCAACTTTGCATCATCACTCAATATCATCTGTGCCAAATGTGCAATGGCTCCTGCATCAACAACAGTTTGTGCCAACTGAAAAATATTAAAATATGATTGATTACAAGATTATCCAAGTGAATTTGTAATTCCCTGACGTGTTTGAATAGTGCTCAATACACATACAAGTTGTAGATGCAGAGCAAAACATACATGTCAATAGGAGAACCACAAGGATATGCACATGATTCTATGCAAGTGTTTTGCTTACGCACTTGTAATTAAGTTCTGTCTGACAATTGCATGCACAAAACTCAGAGTATCGTGCGTCTTTCTTGTAGTTCACCTATTATATGATTATATGCTTATGTTAACTAGTGACCTATTATAAGACCAAAGCTTTAAGTTTTCACCAGCGCCACTAGAACAAGTGCAGAAGCAAGCACAAGAAGTTGCACTTGCTTTTTTTTGTTTTGTTTTCAGTAGCAAAATCAAGTGCAAGTACAAGTCAGAGCAAGCACAAGAAAAATGTAAAAGTTCCCTGTGCTTTTAAGTTACCAACCTCTGGTGAGTGTTTACAGATATCACTTAGYGCAGATGAAGCAATTCTTTTCAGAGATAACTCTGGTTCTTGGATGCACAAGACCAGGAGAGGAACTGCACCGGCATCYACTACAGCTTGGGACAACTCTGTTTAACATGAATCACGATATCATAATATCAACTTTTGATTAGCATACTGTATTTATTAGGCTTACACAAGACAAGTGAAATATGCTATTTTTTTAAATTTTGTCATTTACTACATAGTAATAATATAGCTGAATTAGAAGGCACAACTAATGTCATCATTATAACTTGTCTTGGCAATCATAGTGCTATATCTAATTCAGCCTTAATTAGTGCAGATGGAATATGAGTCTACATGAGATATTTGGTGGCTTGAAGAAGAATTACAATTTAGCYGTCAGTAAGAATTGTATCAATTAACACTTTAAAACCCCTTAACTTTGCATATTGTCACAGTCAATAGTACAAGGGAAATAAAAAAAAGCTACTGTAATTTCACCTACCTGCATTATGCCTGGCAATATATCCTAGTGCCCACGCTGCTGCTTCTTTTACTCCTGGATCAAACTCTTCAAGACAGATTACCAATGCATCTAATGCCCCACTGTCAACCACAGCCTAAGAAAATTAAAAAAAAACAATGAATTATCAAGGATTTATTACAAAGTAAGTATTTATTAGAGCCATCAAATTGGACCCTCAAAATAATTATTTGGTTTATGGTGTAATTACTTTGTAAAATGAAAAATAGAAAACAAATTGAATTCTTGGTTTATTGAAGAATTACATGTAAAAAAGGGAATTCTTTGTTTATTAATTATACACTCATTTACCTGTGCATGCTGGGTAGAATGCTTTGCGACTGCTCTCAAAACAAATGCGGCTGCCTTCTTGTAAAATCTCTATCAAATTGAAGTTGAAAAAAATTAGTTCTATATTGTGAGTGGCTAAATAAATGATATTCCACTTAATCATTGCTCTGACCAGAAACTCATAATAATTTTATGTTGAGACCTGCTGTCAATTTCAATTAGGGCTATATGTCCCTTTGGTTTTACTAAACAGCAAATATGGAAACAAAAGATAAATTCAAATAGCCTTACATTTTGTTCAGCCAGTGAATAAACAAGCTGGGGTAAAATATCTGCTTTGACAACAGCCTCTGCTAGATCATCATTATAACTGGCCAGCTTCCCAAGGGCAAGAGCAGCAGTTTGCTGGATAGTTGGTACAATGTCCAGCAAGAGAGGTCTTAACAATGACATAACGCCTGAAAAAAATAGGTAAATACATGAGAATTAAGTTTAAAATACATTTATCAATAACTCATAAACTTTAAAAAGCTGTTTTTAGTAGAAGATCTTCTGAAGTATTGATAAGATTTCCGAATTTAAGGAATAGCAGGGAAACGAATTTACTACAAATAATCTGTCAAATTCTTTGATATGTCTTTAAGTAAAATTATTGATTTGCAGTTATATTTCAAGTGTAATACTCGTATAATATTTCTTACCTGCATTTTGCAGTGTTTCTATATTCTGGGGCCTTGAAGAAAGCTCAGCTATCGTCTGTACAAAATTCGTTCTGGCCTTTTGATACTGCTCGAATACTAAAAACAAAACCATACATTTCTTTTCAACAAATGTCCATGATTTAATCGTAAATTCCAAGTACAACATAGCACATACCTTGTAGAACTTGTCGTGTACTCATCTTTGTAAAAAGGCGGCGAGTATTTAGCTTAAAATGGACAAAATTTAGTAAAAACAAGAGCACAACCTTGTTATCTTTCGTTCACTGATCTATGTTGCTATGGTTGCTAGGTTACATTGAGACTGGGACTCAGCGCGTGAACTAAAATGAGTAACCGCTGACAAACCAGTCAAAAAGCACAGGGATCCCAACTTTATGGAACTGTTGTGCGTTTTGTTTTTATCGATGCAAAAAACTTCACAGTTATAGTAGTACTTTTTTTATTACAGCCTTTTGCACAAATCATGAGACATTTTTATATATATAAATATACCTAACCAAATATCAAAAACACCCAAGAAATTATGGGATACCGTCGCTGATATTTTGTCTGTAACAACCTGATGCTAGGCAATCATGACAAAATATAATAGAGATATACCATAATTTCTGGGGTGTTTTTGATATTTTGTTAGGTATATTTGTATATATAAAAATGTCTCATATTGTGCAAAAGGCTGTATCATTTATAATAATTATATATATTAAGTTCACTTCAATAGAATACGTTGAAGAAATAGGAACACAACTTGCAACTTGGTTTTCTACTCTTTAATGAACGTTTCGTCATTCTCCCTTCTTCAGCAAACAAAATGTTTTTCTTTAAGTTCACTTAAAGTCTGTTCACACTACAACATAAGCAGAAGGCTTTTGTTTGAAGATAAAAAAAAACAGCAAAAGTAGAAACAAAATGAAAACTTTGTTTCAGTTTGAGTTAACAAATTACATTCATATATACAGAGATTTTAGACTAAAATTTGTAAATTTGTCTTCCATTTAACATTAGATGATGAAAATCAGCAGCCATTATACTCTTGCTTGCTCTTCCTCAGTTTACAAGACATGTTTTCTTTCAGCTCTGATGCATCTTATTATTTTGAGTGGATTTCATTTATATACAAAGGAAACACCATCTAAGTAAAATGATACATGGCATTGGAAAAACCTGTTTGTCCTGCTGAATGTTTGGTTTAACAGGAACCACTAAGCTTTCCCATGTTTAAAAATACATTTGAATTAGCCTAGTAACCATTCACGTCCTCTTACTTAGAACTCGCAACAGAGCATCTAAAATACTTGGAGAAATGCCATACATTCCTAAGATTGCTCTGGGATCATCATGGCCTTTAATCAATTCCGACATGGCATCAAGGTCTTCATCAGTCATCATACTTTTGACAAGTCGTTCAGATTCTTCATCTAGTTTCTTCTGGGCTTGATCTCTTTCATTCTTTTTGCTTTCTAAATCTTTAATCATTACCTCAAAACCAAACTCTCCCATCATCTTGTGTTTCTGAAGTTGCTTTGCATGTTCCCTTTGCTCCTTGTCAAAGTACCACATGGTTATAGCGTATCGTATAGAATTTGAGGGTAAAACTTCATGTGGTGTTCTCATATCAGACCAAAACAGTACAAGCCGGTTAAAAAGTGGCTCTACATCATAATTTCGATTTGTTTTAAAAATTCTCAATTTACCCCCATTTTCTTCTGTCCACCCCTTGTTCAGATAAAATAGAACAGTGAGACATCGCCCATCGCCATCTGGATTGTCAACATGTTTTATATAACCTGTCTGTTGCCCTGGGTAACAGGCTACCATTGCCTTAGTTCGACCTTGTATATCGTACCCTCCAAGTTTCCGGCTTGTTCCGTTGCACTGCAGGACTAAATCATCAACTTTACTCATATAAATCTCTCTTATATTGTTGACATTATGTTCCTTCCCCTCAACCCAAGTAATTCTATCGCCGCGAATTTTCTTTTCGCTGTATTTCTCAGCATTTTCTGACGAAGTCAAACCGCCACTCAACTGGCCATCTTTGAAAATGCCAGTGTTATCAAGCGTTATGACCTCATGAAGTATGCTTTCTGATGCAGTTACAGACAGAAAATCGTTCAGTATGCAAAAGCCGTTTTTGTTTAGCTCGTAGCAAACGAAATCAGCAATTTTGGCTGAGTCAATTTGAAAAGCATTTGATAAACTGTTTGGACCTTCTTTCACTTTTGTGCATATCATTTTATGAACTTTCCAATCGGATCTTTGACAGTCTCTGTTGCAATACCAACTGTACTTGCATCTTGAACATTTGAATAAGGTTTCTTTTTCAGCTCCACAAAATGCACAAGAAAGTGTCGTTATGTCCGCCATTTTGTTGTTAACAACAGGGCCCAGTTTACCAAGAAACGGCGCGCTTTTTTTCAGTCGGGAAGGACTAAGTATAAATGACGTAGCTTTCACAAGGAAATCCGCTGAACAGGAACATAAAACATGGCAGCCCACAAGCGGAACATATAAAAATATCTTCTTTATTCTTTCTAAAATCAAAGCTATTTTATCTACTTTCCATCACAAAGGCAAAGAGTATAGTGTCCTGTATTGTAAATAGTATTCAAAATGGTTTTAGCAGATTTAGGAAGGAAAATAACGACTGCCCTTCGGTCGTTGAGTAATGCCACAATCATCAATGAAGATGTAAGTCGTCTTTGTGTTGTTTGTTGTTATTTATCTCAGGGCGTCTCTTTTTGACTATTGATTTACCTGTATTAATTAACTTGGATTTAAGGGTTTTTTTTACTACTATTAGGGAGATCTGGACCTTTGATTTAAATGCCATACTTTACATTTGTTAATTTTGCTGTGACTGCAATTTTACATGTAACTTACATGTAAGCTTCTGTCTGAGAGATTTTGTGATCATTTGTTTCAGGTGTTAAATTCTATGTTGAAAGAAGTATGTTATGCACTAATAGAAGCTGATGTCAATTTACATTTAGTTAAACGACTGAGGGAAAATGTCAAGTAAGTTTAAAACACACAATTTAGCAATATTGTGGTTATCTTCCCAAAAGTTAGTAATTCCTGGAACTATACGAGCCAGTCGTATATGCTGCATGACAAAAATGAAATTGGCTAATCGGCTAACACAGCATTGCTATAAATTTTTCACCCAATTCAAACCACTGGGATGTAAGTTTCATTGTTTATTGTATTTTTATTTCACAGTAAAATTCTTAGAAACAATTTAAGTTATTTTTCCCACAGGAGTTAAATTGGGTGGTAATGTACATGTACATATCAACGCGTAAGCCTATTAGGTCTATGCTGATTCAAGCATCAAGATATTATTGTGTCAAACTAAATGTACAAATATATCTTTTTCTGACATTTATAGTGGATGTGTGTTTTCAGACTTTTATTTATGGCTGCATTTGGTCCGACGAATAAATCAATGAGTTGTGCCAAAAGTATTTGGGTCAACACAAATTGACTACAATAATAGCACAACATATGAACTGGGCCTTATATAGCAATTGTAAAGTACTAGCTAATGCACAAGCTATAATTACTTTTGACCCTGTCTGAAGGTCTTTTTCTAGCACTTACTTGGTGATCATAGACATCACAAATGAATGACAGAACATACATTGTACCTTATATTGGAGAAAGTTTTATAATAGTTGATATTATTTTGATATAGATCAGCTATTGATTTTGAAGACATGGCTGCTGGATTAAATAAAAGGAAAATGATTCAACATGCTGTCTTCCAAGAACTTTGCAAGGTACAACATTTAATAGTTTTATATTTATTTAAATAATTAAAATTTATTGCTGGTGTTGAGCATTTTAAGTTGGTCCTGGTTTAATTTCATTGTCTGGGACTGTATTTTTTATGCGATTGAGTTTGTAGATAAATTCTCTTCCTCAATCTATGAGTTCTCCAGGTACAACATAGAATGGTTTTTCAAAAAACAGCTGTAAGGAGTTTAGTGTGATGCTGTATAACATTGAAATGTGTATGCAGGAGTTGTTCGTGTGAGCATGTCTGATACATATTTTGATAATAAGTCACTTTCTATGGTGATACAACAACAATTCATAAAATGTATTATTAGGCATACATTGAAACATGTATTTTTTTTCTTTTACTGAGCAGCTGGTTGATCCTGGTGTAAAAGCATGGACTCCATCCAAAGGAAAGAAAAACGTCATTATGTTTGTGGGTTTACAGGGTTGTGGTAAGACCACAACATGCTCAAAAGTAAGGTCAACACCACAAAAAAAAAAAAAAAAAAAAACACCTACAAATGATTTTTAACATGTGCATGTGCCTTCATTGGCTCTAAAACACTTTGTATGATTTATAGTTAGCTTATTATTACCAAAGAAAAGGTTGGAAAACATGTTTGATTTGTGCTGACACTTTTAGAGCAGGTGAGAAGTTGTTTCCATGATGGCTGTGGTTCATTTTTGAGTTCCTAGAAAAACCTATGAATCATAGTAATCATAGTTGTGTGTCGCTTCTCTTGTGTTGGTATTGAACTCATCTTTTATACTTGTTTAAATAATTATGTTTTTATCAAAATAATCCATGTGCACTTTATGAAATTATGTAAGTAATTTCAACAATTCCAATTAATTTTGTGATAGCTGCTTTCTATATGAACAACATTCTTTGATATTTTTATAATCTATTATAATAATCTCGATGATGATGATGATAATTATAATGATAATGATGATGATGACAATGGTGATGATAGTGTAGTGAGCTATCAATGTATTTGATAGACAATTAAAATCTTTTATCAGGTGCTTTTGATCAGCTGAAACAGAATGCCACCAAGGCTAGGATCCCTTTCTATGGAAGGTTAGAATGAACAAAATATAATCAATTTAAGCACAATGACTTCTAACAGTTCTAGCCATAGCAAAAAGACTTGTTTCATTTTAGTTGTTAGGATATTAAATTGCTATTTTTGTTTAGCTATACCGAGACAGATCCAGTCGTCATTGCACAAGAAGGAGTAGAAAAGTTTAAACAAGAAAACTTTGAAGTGATCATAGTAGATACAAGGTCAGGAACAAAAATAGAGTTGTCATCTGTGTTTAATGTACATGACATTCTTATATCACCCTACTATGGCTGCTAGTTTATCTCTCAAACACTTTTGAGACAGGGACATTTGAAATGTTGTATGTGTTATGCCTTGTACAATCTGAAGAGAAAGATCACACTTGCTGCAGTAGGAATATTGACATACATGTGATATAATGTTGTTTTTGATATTTTCCTTCCAGTGGAAGGCATAAGCAAGAAGAATCTTTATTTGAAGAGATGTTGCAAGTATCAAATACAATTGTAAGTAAAACTTTTACAAGTCTTTATTTTATTCTAAATACTTATTACAGTACTTGTATTTTATGGTTCATCGGTACTGCCATTGACTTGTTTCATCTTCTGACTTGCCATTTCATTCTTTTATTCATTTCTTATCCACTTCCCACTCTACTAAAGTCTCCCCCTCATTCAATCCAACATCTTCAAATGTATTATACAAGTAATAGCAATGTATGTTACCAGTTGTTCGATAAAGGTGTTGTGTTAATTTCAGAGTCCCGATAACATTATATTTGTTATGGATGCCACCAATGGACAGGCTTGTGAATCGCAAGTAAGTTTTTGTTCTTATAAAAGAATATCAAAGCATAATACTTTTCATTGAATTAGTCATGCTGTATCTGCCTAGTCTGACCTCAGTTTCTTTCCATTTGTCTTTGTTTGCTGCCATACAGTACATATTTGTATGGGTAATAACAATAGCAAAACAATGAAACGAAAATCTCCATCTAGGCCAGATGTAGAATCCTCCACAGTCGTCTCTTTCCTTTCTAAACATAATGGGCTTCCTGTTTTAGACCAGTAAGAGAGCAGGACTGGTAATGAGGCAAGGAAAACCAGTCCTCTCTCTTCTCTATTTTTGTCCACAGGGAACACAAAATATATAAAAACTGGAAAGCAAGATGCAACAGTTTAAAAAAAAAACATCAAAGGTGGTGTGTTATTTATTTATTTTCCTTATGTTATAACAGGCTCGTGCATTTAAAGCGAAAGTAGACGTTGCATCAGTTATTGTGACCAAACTTGATGGACATGCCAAGGGTGGTGGAGCACTCAGTGCGTAAGTAAAACACTACTCCTATTATGAGACATTATAATGTTTTTGAAATAATTATCATTGGCTGGTGACGAATGTTTATAGTGTTGTTCGACCCTCATGAGCTCAAGAAGGAATATTTGAAAACTTTATAAAGTCAATGATTATAAAATGGCCGCTGGTGTTATGCAGGTTTCTCTAAAGTATTTTTTTATGTCTTAAGTGTCGCCGAGACAAAAAGTCCTATTATTTTCATTGGAACTGGAGAACATATTGATGACTTTGAACCTTTCAAGACAAGACCGTTTATAAGCAAGCTGCTAGGTATGTCAAAATCCAGTGACTTTTCACATGATTTTCCTTAAGATAAAAAAGCCTGATTTGTACTAAAGTTACTGGGGGGAGGGGGGAGGGAAGAAAATTGCTAGGAATAACTGAAGTTTATAGAGTTTGTTGTTGTTGTACATTGCTGATTAAATAAAATAGTAATTACCATATATTTTGTCTCAAGGTATGGGAGATATAGAAGGGCTCATTGATAAAGTCAATGAGCTGAAATTAGAAGACAATGAAGAACTTATTGATAAACTAAAGCATGGTAAGTTTTATATCAAATCTTCTTCCAGGCCCTCTCTTCATTTGAAGACCTTGTCCTCATCCCTGTGGGAATGGGTTCCCTGTGCTTTTTTCTAGCCTTAGTAACAATGCAAATATATAACAAGATTGCATGCTAAAGATGTACAAAATCTCATGAGTTGGTTTTTGATCTTTAATGAGATGGTTGTTGATGTTTATTTTAGGTGTTTTTAGTTTGCGTGATATGTACGAACAGTTCCAGAATATCATGAAGATGGGACCATTTGGTCAAATAATGGTAAATATATTGTACTTGAATGTTGCAGCTACATCAATTAGTTGTACCTAGTTGCACTGCTGTGCTATCTTGCAAAGGTAACCATGAATTTGCATCAAAGTAAAACTCATTGATCCGAAAACGGTGGTTTTTCCTCTATGCAAAGGCACAGTTACCTTTCAAGATAGCGCAGGGACTGTGAAGAAGACTATCGCTAAAATCCCAAGATATTGTACATTCTAGATTTTGTTATTTTGTAAGTACAAAGAGATAACAACTTTATGCAAGTCCAGTGTACTCCATGCTGACCCAGTACAGACCGAACAATTGACCAAAGTTTTTAGTCATTTTTCAATCGACATAAAGTTGTCAACAGTAGACGTCTACAATCATTTCACATAATTTGCTTGTTACGCATGCTCTTATACAATCTTTGAGCTTAACCCACATGGTCTAGAGCTTCAACTCTAAGAGAATAAACAAAACAAAGATAAAGGTTGCTCTAGGATTAAGTTCAAGCAATGTTTAACAGCAATACATGTACGTTGTGTGTGTGTTAATGCAGTTTTATTTTGTGAATCACAGGGAATGATTCCTGGATTTAGCAGTGATTTCCTGTCAAAGGGCAACGAACAGGAATCAATGGCAAGACTGAAAAAACTCATGACAATCATGGATAGTATGAGTGACTCAGGTATGTTTGACGACAAAATAAACGGTTATGAGAGAACRACATTGAAAAAAAAGATAGATAGATGGAATGAAACGAATAAGGAGCAATACCAAAGAAACGAAGGAAGAAGGAGATTTGAAATGTTACCTTAATGTATGCTAAATAGATGACTGAAAAAATAAGTCAAATGCTTTTTCAGAACTTGATAATCCCAATGGCGCAAAATTATTTTCCCGCCAACCAGGACGTGCCACACGAGTAGCACGAGGTGCTGGCGTGTCCGTTCGTGAAGTTCAAGAACTGTTGTCTCAATACACGAAATTTGCACAAATGGTCAAAAAGATGGGAGGCATAAAGGGACTCTTCAAAGGTAAAGTGGTTCAGCGATGAAAACCGTCCTGTATTATTATATTGTGATCGCTCTCCAAATAAACATTTGGCATTTACAATAATTCGTGTAATTTCCAGCTTGTTGTTGTGGTTCTTCTAGTAAAATGCGTTTGCCTTTGTAGGAGGCGACATGACAAGAAATGTGAACCCAGCGCAAATGACGAAACTCAACCACCAAATGGCCAAGATGATGGACCCTCGAGTATTACAACAGATGGGTAAGAGATGACGTCATGTTTGTTTCGGCGAAGTGCATCATGGTAATAACAGTGTCAAAATGGCGGCTTAAAACAACTGCAACTACGACAGTTTTAGCTCTTTACGCGCAACTGCCTATTAGATATTAGCGTTCAAAGAAACGCTAATTAGCTCATAAAATCTCTCTAAAAAATGGAGCTTTTAAAACTGTTAAGCGCAAAAACTCAATTTCAAATGGGAAGCTCAAAATTTCGAGGAAAGTTTACTGTGTCATGTTGTTTCAGTGGTGATAGTTAAATTATAACACAAAATGCTTGATACTGATGAGTGATGCTTGTTGTTCTCGAAACATTCTAAGGCGCTACAAAATATTGATTTATACTTCCATGTTATTTTCAGGTGGCATGTCTGGACTGCAGAACATGATGCGTCAGTTTCAGTCAGGAGCTCATGGTGGAGCACCCTTCAAATAACACAGGTCATCATCCTTAATCATCATTCAAACGAACAGCTGTACCGTAATTACATGTTATCAGATCATCAATGGGTGCATTCAATAACTATATCCAGTTTTAATCAGCCTGATTAGTTATTGGTACTGATTGCTCTCATTTACCAGTCCAAACTCCAAATTTCTCTATCACATAATGACGTCAGAAAAAAGTATTTTATTATTTTAACGCTAGGGATTATGGTCGCATATCAAAGAAGAAAGACACACGCTGACGTCATTACGTGATAGGCCAGTTTAGGGCTCTATTAGTAAGGTTCTAATTTTCAGACAATGGAAAAACTTCATTAGTTGCGTGACGTCACGGCGACCATTTTGAACATAAAATCATGATGATATAGTCCTCGCATTTGTCATAGGCTCTGAAAATTTTCCCTGACAGACGTTTTGGCATTTTCTTTTTACAAACGGCACAATTACTTCTATTTCTCTATAGTGGAAATAAAAACAGCTCATGAGAACCAATTTTATGACAGTAAAATGTACCCATCGTATGGCAATTGATGTACATGGATGTATCGGGTAAAAAGAATGTGGTGCAGGTCAATATTACATGTAGCTACCATTGTAAAAATACAATAGAATTCTGTATTTTCAGAATGCAATAATAAAAAGTTTTAGAAGTAAGATCATTGAAAAATTTTTGAGACCTCGATATGCGAATGGGATGTCAAATAATATTTCCGTAATAACAAGATACATAACGTACAACTACTTTAATACACGTACATGCTTTATCTAAGATATCATATTTTAAAATATTAGTAAAGGAATTTTCATTTGATATTGAAAGAATGGCCGATTTGCAAATTACGTCTCGGTACTCAAACACAAAAGAATCAAGACGAGTCGCCGTGCATAAAGCTAAGTCAATCGTGAAAATCTGTTTTCTTTTCAATAAAGACGAAGCTGTATGCACGACGCCTCGTCTTGATTACTTTGTGACTAATGTGGCAAATTTCGCAAGTCGGCTATTGTCATAATATTATGGGAAGGCACCAACTATGGCTATTATCACAAATGCACCACTGTCCAATCAGAATAGTGGGTTCATATTCGCTATATAGCGGTACACTTTGAATCTATTGTTTTCCGTTTTGCTTTGTAAACAAGTACAAATGAAATAATTGATTTTGTTTTTCACCTTACGTGAACATCATTTTTTAAAAAGAATACTTTTCATCTAGAATTTACTTATACTTAACTTTTAAATGGTGAGTATTCAACAATTTTTGAAGTACAGTTCATGAGATTTTGAAATGTGTTTTTCACAAAATTTCAAATGCAATTTCCTCCCATAAAAATCCACAGTTCATTAAGTACTGCTGCAAAGTAATGTTTCCGCAGTTCACACTCATTTTTTCAAAGTAAAACAATGTCAGTGGGCGTCCGGCTTTCCTGTAAGGCAAACGTAAAACCGCTCTGTAATTTTTTCTATTATTTTCTTTATTTTCAAAAATAAATTAATATGCATTTCAGCTATATAATATCATGTCATATGCAAGAGTGGAGACAAAGTTTAAGTTCACAGCGGGCAAAATTACTTGCTAAAACCATTAAATTTGTTTTATGATTACGTAAAATAACTACAAAAAATATCATATGCTAATTCAAAAGATTTCGCAAATCTATCAAATTTAACAATTTGAGAAGTTTTTTCTATCGGGTATACTTATAAAGTTAAGCGTGTGTGGGTTTAGTTTTGGCTGTATGTTTGTTGTTTTTGCTGTTGTTTTGCAGTTGTTGTTGTTTTTTTTTTTTTGTTGCTGTTGTTTTTGTGTTGTTTTTCTCGTTTTTTGTTGTTGTTTTGTTTTTGTTGTGTTTTCTTTTTCCCCGCAGACTTATAAGTTACTAAAAACAGACCGCGGCCATGGGATATAGGATTGCGCTATCGCGACGTGACCTACGTAATTCCATGCGGAAATGGATAAGGGTCGAAACCCATTACCAACATATAAGTAACCACATTGCAGACCACACGACAAATTAAAAAGACTGGTGAATGCTATCAGCTATATATCATAAAGATTTCTATCATTTCTCTTAACTATAGAGAATACCGCGTCTGGTCGTCAAAAAAAAAAAAACACGGACCATTAACCTCCCTCAACCTGCCATCTGAACAAAGACTATAATTAGATCTCCATCAAGTTATGTATTCATTCTCTTAGCTTGAATATCGATGCTTTGTTTTGTTATTGTCAGCCGCACAGATGATGTTTTCTCTGGAACAAAAAGCCGGAAAAGGGTACAATCTATGAACGCGCTCATTGGATGTTTATTTTGGATGTTTTAGACACATTTATGTCGTCCTTGTTTTCCTTTCTGCAAATTCGATTTACTTTGATGAACAGATAAGAAAAGTCTAGTTTTTCTTGACCTTGGTACATTTACGTCTAATAGTGGTAAGTAACGAATAAAACTTTTGATAGATTAAAAAGGGCGCGGCAAAGAGAGTTAAATGTGGGACTCTTGCTACCTCTGTATCAATGCGCTTTTTTTCATGCTTGTTGGTGAAAGTTTCGAGCCGAGTCTCTCCAGGGTACCGACTGCATTACGACGTTGCATCGGATCGATACCGGAGGCCAAAACAGATCAAATGCGGTCGCTATGATACTTCCAAGTATTCCGGATAACATTACAATCGCGCTGGCACCTGTGTGAGACGTCGAAGTACGTATGTCGCTAGTATTGTTAAACGTTTCGCATTCTTGACTGTTTGGAAAGGAATTTCAACTCTTTTATGCCAAAATTGACATCAACCTACAACCTAGCCTTGCGCGGGCTTATTACCAACAAGATCTCAGTTTATTTTGCCTTGACTTTGTAGTCCTTGAAGTCGACTGGCAGTTGTAAGAGCGGTGTATATAAAATCTGATCAAAATCGTCGCCGTCACAAATCATGAGCGTTTACTTTTCGAAATATTGCGTCAACGGATACCGAGGTAGGTTTTAACAGTTCAACATTCTAAAAGGCAGATAATTTCACGACATTTGTGTCGATTAAATAGAGAAATCGGTAAATAACTCAGTCTCTCTCATAATTTACGCATTGCTGTGTCATATATACACTCGTCAAATATGTGCGGTTTAATATCATTGACCCCAACTGAGCAACTATAAAGGCAAAGTCACTTCTAAACAACGTCTGATATATGACTAGTTCATTTCAAAATCATTAGAAACAGTTTTAATAGCAAATGAAAAGCCCATTGAGCGATCTGTATTAAACTTGACAAGCAAATATCGTGACTTTACTCAAGTCGAGGGCTTATCGTCGAGAGAGATTTGTGTGAAATTAAATATTATATCTACTTAAATCATATCCTTCGTGTTTAGGTTCATGTTTTGACATCTTGAGGTAAACATTTATAAACCTTCTTACTCACACAGGCAATGTATAGGAGCGTTTGCACTTGCGATTTGTGAAGCGCGTTAATCGCTACTCAAATCTATATCGCGCAACTCCAATCGTACGTGTAAACAGCCATGCGATTGTCGAGACGATGGAAAATCGCCGCGAAGTTGCAGCCAATTTTCAAGCATGTTCGAAACTCAGGCGATGGTCGCGCGACGATCGCAAAAATCGGGCCTTTTATGGATCAGTTGAAGATTTCAGTCAGTGTATACTACTTTGCTTCCCGCATGCAAACTCCCTAAACCCCTGCTCCGTCGCAGAGTATGTAGTATATATAAATAATATGAGGAATGTATGTAAATCAATACATATATAAACTATGAAATCAAGAAAGTGCTTTTATATCCCGTGTAGAATTTTTTCATGTGACTCTTCTAAACGTTTTCAATGCATGTCGGCCATTTTTTTGCGTGACACAGCCCTGTTCTCGTGATATTCAAATAATGTTAATCGGCTTTTCGATGAAAAACAATCCAGGGAGCATTAACATTGGATATGTGATATTGCTTTCTCTGTAATCATATGGTTTATTACTAGTCTTTAATGACCGAAAATATACATATCATTCTTGCATTTACTTATCATTATTCTTTTAGATGATAATTGTCCGTAATTTTCACTTATTTTGGTGAACATCTTGAGTGCATTGATTTCTCATTTAAGAGAGATAAACCATCATCAAAAATAATGAAATTTAAAACAATTAAATGTTGCTGCATGTTGCTGACAAGAGTTTTTGCACTCGGGTATTCGGTTGGTCCCCTACATCACTGGAAAAAATCGCGCGCTATAAAGGTTGTAAATTTGATGTATAAATGATGTAAGTGTCCAAAATGATGTAAATTTGATGTAAAGGATTTCCATCAAATTTCCATCATTTTGGACACTCACAACATATATTTCCATCAAATTTAAAACATTTTGGTGTGCGATTTTTTCCTCTTTCAAATACCGTAGTATTCATTTGGTCAAATCCCGGATGGTTCATAATGGCCTTCACTAATTAGCATATGATCGATTGAAATTCACTTTTTCCCAAAATATAAATAGGTTATATATGGGTCTAAGACTAGTAAATACTAAACATGCTAAATCACATTACAACATTTACCATCAACATCTAAATGATTTATTCGAAAAAATCTGTGGGAACATATGGGGACATATGCCAAATTTCACCTCACATATAAAGTAAGCGGATGTGGAGGAGACGAAAGGAGCCGGACACAGGACGAAGCGAGAATGATGAAATAGAATTTCTAATGGAAACAATACGGCTGCATTCGTCTCCACCATCACCACGTGCTTCACGATAGTGAGTACCAACTATTCAAGTTTGCAAATAGCTAGCATAGCGGCTTTACACCCTCTAGGGGAGGGGAAAAGAGGAAACGAAAGGGGAGGCGGTGGGGGAGGAAGGAAGGAAGGGGAAAACAATAGCTTTTGTTTTTTTACTTCTCGGCCATCTCTGCACCTCTACGCGCGCAGGAAAGTCCGCAAGAAAGCGAAAAAAAACACCATTTGTTTCAAGTTGAGATATTCAAGCGCGCTGCACGTTGATCCATGGTGTACTTTGTACAACAGTTTTGTCCAATTCACAAGATATTATTTAATATCTAGTTCTCACAATCTTAGGAATAGGATCTAAAGGTTTGTTATTTGTTGTTTGGTTCTTTCAGATAGCGTGCCAGGAGGAGATCCACAAATGCGCGATAGATTACTGGCAGCGATCAAGGAGTTGGCTGTACTCGGCCCAGGTCAACTCCAAAGCTCACAGACAAGTCTGCTGAAGACATCCACCCAGGGAAGGTCACTTGACAGTTCTAGAGCTACAGGTTCACCAGGTAAATGCTTGAAAAGCATTTTCGCTGTTAATTAAATCAATAATGGTTATCCTGTTAATAAAATCTTCATGTAAAAATACTTGTAATCGTTTGAAAAAAAAAAACTTATTGAAAGCATTGAAAATGATCAGATTGTGTTTGCAAACAAATTAACATCAACGAAACAATAGCCGGTGATCACAGACAATGGCTATGTTAAAACCCGCGTGTGAAATTACAAAATAAAACAGAACAAAAGCCTTTTTCAAATCACATATTTCTTCAATATTCTTAGATGTTGCTTCTGTCTGTTATCTGTCTCAGCGGAATTTATTTTCACCAATTATTGATGTATAAGAATATTAACATTGCAAGTCTTGTTTTTGTCGGCTCTGTCGAAGAGTTTGTAGCAGTTTAAGGCCTGCTTTTATACAAAACAATGGTAAGATTAGCTTGTGAAATCTTATTTTCCAGAAAGATTAAGTATTACACTAATTGTACTCCAACAAAACAGTTAGCTTATGCTGGTTCTTACTGGAAAGAAGCAATATGTTATTATTCCTTGGAATTTGGCGTTCATCACTAAAAATTCACATTGCAGATGCGCTCAATTAGGAATAGATTCGAATCAATTTAATTAAGGTAATTATTCCGGCCAGCAAAAACACCAGGGGGCAAAATTTATCCATATACATATTATAAAATAAGTAATTGATGATTATGTCATACGATTGATTCAATATGTGTGTCAATCTGAGTATCGAACGCAAAAGTAACTAGTAATTGCAGTAGAAAAGGTATAAAGATTCTCAAGTAAGTTGCTGGAGTTTGCAACTGATACCGGTTAGTAGCTTTTGTGGCTCTCATGTTTTCGTTTATGTTGCATGTACATCGCATTCATGTTGCGCGTTTCTTCTCGGAAGGCGCATGGTTTAAGAGGTTCTCGCTGCTTTCCCGACTGAAACATCCGAAAAACTACTTGAAATATATATATATATATTGAATATTTGCATACTAAATGGTGCATTGTAAATAGCTTTGAGAAAGTCGAAAAACAAGCCCAGCCTGCGTGCATCCAAATTAAAAATGTTCAGTTAAAATTGCGACATAAGTTGCTAGTCAAGTACACTGTTAGAGCATGAGCATTTTCTCATTTCCAATGTCCGCCATCTTGTTTCTGGCTAGTTGCTGTGGAAAATTGTTAATAGTTGAGTTTCATGATCTCTTTTACGCTGTGTTAGCCTCAATTGTGTGCTAAAATATTCAGAAATGTAGATAAAACTGGTGAGATTTCAAACTAGTTCCATTGTCTTATACTCACCGATCTCTTGCATTTTCACGGGCTGTTGTGAATAAAAGAATATATTACATGGTTTTGAGGCTAACACAGCGTAAAAGAGATCGCTAAAAGGGTTTATTGTAGCAGCTTGGCTTGAGCTGTGTACTTTTGTGATCAGTTTGAATTCAACCTTTTTTTGAAATAGCTAAAAACATCTTCATTATTTGTTTCAGAATACCCGAAGGTTCACAGATCTCACTCAAGCTCACCACAGGCATCCCGTCTCAAGCAAAGCAATCCTCATGGAGTTTTGAAAGAAAAGCTGAAACGCTCTGTTACGTTAAAACTAGAAAAGGTTGATTTTCATTGCTTGTTGTATGCATGACTTTTTCTTCTCTATCTATTTCATGTTAATAACTAGATGTAGGTTTAGTTTTCCGCGCGTGAGGCGTCACAAAAGCGGCCTACAAAAATTAGGCTGAAGCCTATCTGAAATGCAAACTTTAATTCCGCGCGCGCGCCCATACTTGTATAAGCTAAGTCGGTGTTACTGCATGATACTGAACTTCCGTGAGCGTTGGTATGTTTTCTCTCTGCATTTTTTAATTTCAAAATGTTTTCTAGGGAATTATTAAGATTTATGCTAACATCTTACATCCCGATGTGCAATTCAAGACCTTAAGTATAACGTTCCACACAACTAGGTGAGTACTACTTGTTTTCTGCTTGTAGCGAAATGTCAAGCAATACCAATTTCCATTCAATAATACTCAGTAATTCCATTCAGTAATAGAATTATTACTTTTATAACCAGTATGAAACTGAATTGTTACCTCTATTGCAAGTTCAGATCTAATTGACGTTGATTCTCTCATGTGCTCAAGTCGATGGAAATTTCTCTAAACTTTTGTTACTTCTTATCATCATTTCAACCCCGAACATGGTATATTGGAGATTCGACGAGTTTAAAACTTGTTCATTTTTTTTCGTGTTCATTTTTAAAGCAAAGAATTGGTCAGCAGTATTCTTAAGAAATACAACGCCCAAGACAAAGATCCCAACCTCTACTACGTCGCTATGGAAACAGGAATAAAACACAAAGGTAACAGCTTCTATATACATTCTGAAACGTTTAAATAATCCATACATTAAACATGAAAAAATGCGCAAGCATCAGGCCATAATAAAACATGCAGATTTTGTCTCAGATTCAGGTCTACCCATTTCAAAAATGATTGTTCTTGAAGACGACGCACGGCCTTTGGAACTCCAGGCATGTCAGCCTCAAGGGGAGGCAAAGTAAGTTTATATAATCATGATGATATCTGTAAATTAATACTTACAATAGTTCATACGTAAAGTTTATTTAAAACGTACAGTTCAAAATTCGCGCGCAACCTAAGATGAGCTGACCTTTTCGCGCAGGCGCGCATGTATTAAAGAATAAAGGAATTTTTGGAGCTTCGCAACACTGCAGCAAAACTGCGATCGTTTTCATTTCCAAAAGTGCCCGCGCATTTCGGAAATCGTCTTTATAAACAATATGGATATTCCTTCAAGTATGATCGATATCGTTCGTTCCAGGTTCCATTTGAGAATAAAGAGCGGAGGAGTGGTACGAGTACGAATAAGCACTCTTTGTCCTGAGGTAGGATGCATTAATATATAGAGGAAATTACTTGGGCTCGCGGAGATACGGATTTAATCTTCGAGTGTCGAAAAGAGCGTAGCGAACGAGTGAGAAATTTTCAACACGAGAAGATAAAATTCGTATCTCCAAGCGACCATGTAATATTCTGTTAATATCCGAACACATTTAGTCTCCTCTCGCAGCCTGGCGTTAGGACGTTCGTTCCCAGGTCACTCCCTAACGGCTGCGAGAGGAGACGTAAACACATTAGTCATGGTAACATATAGTTATAATGTTTATTATCTGTATATGATGATAATAATATGATGATTGTATGTATATGCGGTTGATGATTAATCAATCGACCTGTCAATCATCTCACAATTATGTTTTTTAGAGTTCTTACAAGACAGTGTATATAGCACGTAATACAACCTCTCGTCAGCTGATAGAATTGTTAGTCAACGGCAGTGGAACCGAGGAAAATCCTGACGATTTTACCCTTCGAGAGGCATCTTCGGACTTAGACGGTAAAAAATATATAATTCTATAAAACACACTTCATTTCTAAACTTCCATGCTTCCGTATTGTACTTGCATAAACTTGACCCACTCTATATACCACACAGACAATTATTCTCCGTGCAATTAATGCTCTACCATATCTCCATGCAGCACTAGTCCTCCTGGGTGGAGTCGACGCTTGCAAAAATAGCAATAACTTATACTAATTCTTTGTTTCATATATTCTAATCAACAGTATTTAGTGGTAATTAGTACTATTTGTATCACAGATTAAGTGCGTCTAATGTAGAGTAATCGCATGCACTTAAACCATGCAACTGTGCAAAAAAAAAATAGTGCTATTTAGTTCTATTTAGTAAATAGAACTGTTTAGTTTGTACAATTGCACGGATTAGAGTGATCGCACTTAATCCGTGCAACTGCACAAACTAAATAGCGATGTTTAATTGTATTTAGTAAGTCGTGCATGCGATACGCAAATTAAATTGAATTGTACAAATGAAGCATTCAATACCGTCTTGCTTCAGGTCCACTTTTAGTACAAATTAGTACTACTTAGATTTTGTACAGTTGGTTTAAGTGCGATCACTCTAGCTGATTTTTAGTTTCAAAACATTGACAAAATCCTCCTAGTAATCTGTTTGTCTGGTACGTCATTAATGTGTGCAGTTTAACAGTAACCAGAAGAATGAGAGGTGATTTTTTCTTGATTAAACATCCACCCCTTCCCTCACTACACAATCGATAAACAATGACCAGTCCTTTATGCTGTTTCATTGCAGTCGACCGGATTCTTGGTGATAATGAATATCCGCTAGAAATTCAAACAAAATGGAAACCAAACGAGGGTCGTGTATTTTTTCTTACACGATTGAAAAAGAAGGTATAAATACTCTCTAGAAAAAATAAAGTACATAGTTACTTAGTACACAGTTATTATACTAGATAAATTTGATAAGTTGCCGTGGTCACGAAACAGAGCTCTTACAGGTAAAAAAAGGCGGGAAAATGTAAAAGAAAGTTGACGCGCGCGCGCATCGGGAAATATTCTATTAAGTGATGCGCTGGCACGAAAATAAAAAAAATAAAGTTGCCATTTTAATATTCCTAATGAATCTAATACTTTTTACCATAGTAAGACTATGTTTTCACTCTCTCTTTTAGCCTGACTCGAACCCAGCAGTTCAAAATGCTCCAGAAACAACGTCTGAAGAGCTCAGAAATGAAATAGCAAGACAAAACCAAACAATCGACACAATGAATGAAACGATCCAGAGACTACAACTAAAACAGGACATAAAGACAGAGAATTCACAGCACATTTATACGGCAAATTATTCCGCTAGCGATCAAAATGATTATGATAAAATTGATGATATGAATCAGGACACGTCAATCAGCAAGAGAGTAAACAAACGCATACGGTTTAATGACAGTGAAGAAACAAACAATAGACAACAAAGCGCATCAGCTTACGGTGTTGATTTGCACAAGCCGCGATTAGAAAAGCAAAACGATAGCATCTCAAAGCGTCCTTCACAATCACAAATTAATAAACTTCGTCGCAGTTTTGATCGATATCGAAAGAAAAGTTATGACGATTCGGATCTAGAATTGATGCGTAAAACTAACGTAGACAATGCAGAGTCTAAAAATGTTGAATGCTCATCACAGATTGAGAGATTTCGTCACAATTTTTTAAAATATTATAACATTAGAAATGGAAACAAGCTCCATAAACCCATATCCAGGTCGTGGTCCACGTCAGACGCTGAGTATTACGATATAGCAAAAAACCTCGCCTCCGTGGCAGACGTGCTAGACAAACCACAAAAATCTTTACTGGAGCCTAACAATTATTCCAATAATCGAGAATTAGAAACGGTTCTATCAAGAAATTCGTCGTTCAACAGCTTATGCGATAGAGAAATAAGACGAGTCTTTGAGAACGCTCAAATTCAAAAACAAGATCCTGAATCAAATAAGACCCTATATGACGTCATCAAAGAAAAGGAACTTGTTGCGGTAACAATGAAGAGAGAGCCTGGTAAGGAACTTGGTCTGGAGCTTGCTCACGTGACTCAAACAGGCTCACCAATCGATGATCCATGTGAAGTCATGTACGTTTTTCACAAAAGTGACGGAAATACTTCGATTGTTGGTAGCCCGACTAGTATTCTCAGTGAAGATGATAACCAAGTTATAGACTATGAAAACGAGGTAGACGATGTTTTTGCTGACAGTCCTTCTGAGCTTAGTCAGGATAGTCATATTTGCTTTGGCAGTCAAAGCGACGATTCCTCGCAAAGTAATTCACCCAAACCAACTCTTGATGATACAGTTGCTGGTGATGCAAAGAAAGAAACAGGGGAACCAGGCTCTCCTGGTTCTTGCTGTACACTAGCTGAATGGAGAGAAGGGAATGGACCCAAGCCTCACCATGGTGTTCGTATTGTGGGTGTCACAGCTGGAAGCATAGCCGAAAACGCTAAGACACTAGAGAAAGGTGACGTCATTGTTGAGGTATGTGGAACAGGTACACTAATTAAGTGCATGACCGATGCCGGCCATTTTGCAGGTTGATTGAAATAAAGATCTCTTGCAAACGACTTCATCTGGGACGAAACAAAAAAAAAATACCTCTCTTGTTAACTATAATCCTTATATTACCATACACTGCAAGGGGTATATTCTTTTTAGTCTTGGAATGACCGTCATTCGCGATTATTACTAGAATCCTTTTCGGCAGTTTCCTTTTCAAATGTAAAGGTTTTTTCAATACTGATTTCCCAGAAGTACAACTTTAACATTCCTAAACAGTTTATTTTGATGTTTGTTTTTGTCAGGTGAATGGGGTAAACGTCCTTAACTCGAATCTTGAGGTTGTCATCGATGCGTTACGTCATCAAAACACTGTAAGCCTGGTCATCGCTCGACAGAAACAAGAATCAATGCGTCATGTGACCACGGTAAGGAAACTTGCTTATATTCTATAAAGCGCATATTTGTAGAAAATAAGTTAATTAAGATTCTGGTGCCAATTGCTTAATGGTAACTTTTTTGGAGAAATTTTACTCTGCTCTATTGATTGCTCAGTAATTATATGAGCGAAGGTGAAGTGAAGCAAATAAATAAATAGATCGAAAAAATGAACAATAGAAAACTGCTTTTTAACTCGTTTTATTTGATATTCAGACCAACACAACAATGGTGACATCTCCTCTTTCTTCCCCCAATCACGACGACATGCAAGAACAGGTCCAACAACTCGCTGCAAAGTTGACAGAAATGGAGAAAACCCTCCACAAAAAAGACAAATACATCTCTCACTTAAAGAAATCTCTTATGAAGAGAAAGTTGAAACTTACTTCGAAAGAAAAGATAGAGGAAGCAGTCCAAGTTATTGTATAACACACGGCAATCAAGTCAACTCGCATTTTACGAGATGGTGACCGGATTGCATTCTGTTGGCAGTCTGAGAGTATTCTAAGCCGTCTCCTCAATGGCGAAGAGAGAACGGTTGACACGCGGAGGCATATTCTTTTTCGCTTTACTCTGTACTATTTGGAAAATGTAGTTGGGCAGAAAGAGGGTCCAGCCTTTTGCATTATCCAAGATTGTGCAACAAATAGAATTGCAAAGCTCCTCTCCTTTCGCATGCTCATCTCCTTTCTCCGTTCTACATGTATAAGGTAGACGCAAAAGAGATATACTAGTCAATATTTTTATTAGAAATAAGTTAGTTTTTTTATACAAGGTGTGTACAGTAAATAAGAATCTATTATTTAAAAGGTCAGTGGCTGTTACTTATGAGGATTCATTTAATCTTTTGGAGCTGTTTCGTTTGGAATTTGTGAGAGTATTCAGCTTAAGATAAAACTTGTATCATTAAAAGATGTCTATTTTTCCTTGGTACTATCTTATTTACATATTATACAAACATTATACAACAATTATCTGAAATTTGAAACGATTGGTATTCTTGGTGTCACCCTCCGCTCTACATGACGACGCCTTAGCATACGAAAATAAAAATCTTATTCCAAATGCATTCATCATTAATAAGCAATATAAGCATTATAAACAATTTTTCAATAAAAGTTTACTTCTTCACAAGAAATGTGTCTAGTGCTGCTGTTGTTCTTTGTAAAGAGTTGATATTTCTTTTAATTCGATCTGACACTGATGCAGTTGAATCTGATGAAAATGATTGGACTTTCATATTGCTGCAAACCAAACAAAATGCAAAAGTACATTTAGACTTCCATATTACTTTATTTGTGGCTTATTACCTACATCAATAAAAATATTACCTTAAAAACTGTGCACTTTTCCCGGCGTTCTGAACTTCAGTTTCAGCTTCTTGTTTTTCAGCGTCCTGTGAAAGGCAAACACAACTATATTCAATATTTCTTATTGTAAAGCAATGTTTGTCAAAGAAACGTGGCTCCTTACGTTGTATTTCTTTACATTAGCTGTCCTTTGGTCATTCCTCCACCTAGAAGATTTAATAATTGCACATCATGTTAGGACAACAATTTCATCAAATATCAATAAACATAGAAAAGAAAAACACAACTTACTGTRCATTTGAAAGCATCTCCTCTCGTCGCTTTTCAAGTTCTTCAGCACTCATTTTTCTGTCAAAYACAAAAGACGTTTACATGCTTAAAACCTTGCACTTTCAATACACTACCTGTGGGAACACTATCCAAACTCAATACACTACCTGTGGGAACACTATACAAACTCTTGCTTTCATTATAACGTCTTCCTTCCTCGAAAGACCTCACCAATTTTATAAACATTCTCTAGTGACTTTTGAAGAACTGACTAACTAACTAACTTTTCTTTGTGTCAGAATGTCATATTATTCTCGACAGTCATCAACAATAATGAAATGCTAGGAAGGTAAAATGTATTTAGCAAACGTCCACATGCTCATTGACCACGTACATAGGATAAAGAAAGGCAAATGCTAAAAAGAAGACCAATACAACATAACTTACTTAGTAACAGCTGAACCTCTATGACGATTATTTCTTTTCGGTGAAGGTGACCTTGACCTTGCAGCTCTAAGTGGTGAGTCTCTCCTTGGTGAGTGATTTTTTCTTGATTTCTTTAAATCTGGTGAGCTTGAATATCTCTCATTTCTATGGCCATTACGTTGTGGTGAAGGCGATCTCCTATGATGCCTATCATTTGATCTCGAACTGGAATTCCTGGATTTTTTTTCCAGTTTATTTCTCTGGTGAGGTGAGCTGTGTTTGGTATGCCTGTGTTTTTTGGATCTGTCTGGTGATGATGATGGTGACCTCCTCTGCTTTCTGTCGTTTGATCTCGATCTCAAATGTTGTTTATGTTTTGTTGATCTGTCTGGTGATTCCAAAGCTGTTCTCCTTTGCTTTCTTTCATTTGATCTTGACCTGGAATGTCTCTTATGTTTTCTTGATCTGCCTGGTGATTCTGATGGTGATCTCCTGTGTTTTTTGTCCTTTGATATTGATCTAGAATGCCTCCTTTTTCTTACTCTTTGTGGTGATGGTGATTTTGGATGTCTTTTGTGTCTATGATTTGCTGATCTGTCTGGAGATTCTGATGGTGAACTTCTTTTGTGTTTGTGTTGTCTTTTTGATAGGAAATACTCAAGTTCAGTATCTCTACAATATTAGAGCTGATTTCATGAGTGGGAAAGGACAATACTGTACTGTGACCGTAATCGTACTGTAACAAAATTCTAGTGCCCCATTGGTTCACCAAAATTGTGAAGGCCAGGTCAGGTAACTGTGCGGTAACCCTGCGGTAACGGTGTCCCACTCATACGAAATCCGCTCTAATTTTTTAACAACAATAATAGATTGATAGGTAAACTCTAATATGACATGCTTTGTATTTTGCGTTTTATTGACAGCCCATTGAAAGTCCATGGAAATGCACAGATTTTGAAATTATATGAAGACAACAACAAAACTGATTTCCAATCTAACATTCTTATTAAAAAATACTTAAAAACACTTTGTGCAAATTAACCATTTGAGGCTAAGACAGGGTTTTGTTTGCTGATGTTTTAAAATTACAGTAATGTCAACATTTGTAACAGAACATTTCATGGGCCTCTTGGTATTATGAACTTTATTTTGCAGTATTTTATTTACTATTACCTTTCATGTCTTTTATTTCCATGTTGATGTACTCTTTCATCCTCAGAATCACTACTTTGACTAGAATCTTTTGCTCTTCTTTTCTTTTCCTTCTTGTCTTTCTTTCTCTTTTTGTCCTTCTTTTTCGATTTACCAAGATTTTCTTGAAGCATTTGCCGGAGATGTTTCATTTTCACTGGGTTATTTAAAAGTTCTTTCTTCTTTTCTTCTTCTTTCTTCTTGATGAGAAAAAGTGGATCATCACGAACTTTGGCTGCCAGATCAGCAGGAGTGTTTGCATTTGCTTCACTTGCAAATCCAGGGACATTGCTTTCCTAAAAAAATAGAACATAAAATACATATATTTTTGAATATTTGCAATATGCATTCATCAAAGGATTGAATTGTAGGCACATTGATTCTTTAATGCATYACCGATATGTTAACAGTGATTGGACTGATCTGCTTTACAAATTCCTTTATTAAATTTGAAATTAAAATTTTCTGACTTACAGTCTTTACATTCCCCTCCATAACCAAAATCGTTTTAGACATTCAAAGTAATTCAATACTCAAGTGCTGTTCTAGTTCCTTGAATTCAAAAAAGATTACCCTAAAAAATTCCTTTAGCTTCAGAGCACATATAGTACTAAGCAAAACAATACCTCTTTGTCACCATTTGCCAATGGATCCACTTGCTTGTCAATGGCTTTTCCCAAGAGATACTGTTCCCTGTCAACCTGGCCTGGTGTTGCATACATCCATTCAAGACGATCTGACTTCTTCCTTCAAAAAGCAGAAATAGAACTTATCATTGTCAGATTAAGGACAGCTCTAGTTACATCACAGGAAGCCCACATTTATCATACAAAATGTATCAAATAGATGCATTAATCAAGAAGGAGCATGTGACACAGGATTTTTTAGGACAATGTTCTTTTGTTCATCCATCATATGTTTACCCTGTGCTACACTGATTTGTACTGTTTTACAAAAAGTAATTATCTGTTACCCAAATGTGAGAACCATTCACAGTTTCAGAACATTTCGTTCTGATGACCCAAATGTGCTATTGATTTGGAAAATCATTGCATGTACTAATCATATGACTATGCATACTTTGATATCCCTTGTTCTATCGCATGACGCTGCATATCTTCCCTAGCTCTTTCCTCCATCAATTCTCTTTGAAGTTGTTCAATTTTCTTGGCCTCCGCCGATGCTTTTTGCTCGGCTTTCCACACACGCTCGACATTTCGAATCGTCTGGGGATGCCAGCTTTTCTTTAAATTCTAAAAGAAACATTATACAAATAAACTTAGATAATTATAGTACCTTCCCTGTACGAATTATTTGAGATCTGCCGTGTATTTGGAACAAAATAACGAAGATAAAACTTACCAAGTCTMCGCCACCCATCTTGAATATACGACGAAGAACGTTAGTGAATTGACAGTTGTTGTGGTCAGCAGTATATCTTTAGGACTAACTTATATTTAGGGAGGGGAGGGTAAGTAAAGTGGTATCCAAATAAAAGATATATATTAATAAATATGCATATATAATCAAATTTCATGGTAATACAAATAAAATAAGATCTATCAATGAGATTTGATTTGATATTTCTTAAGAGTAAACTAAATTTAACAAAGCACTAAACGTAAAAGTTCTCCTGATGAATTTAATTAGGGGAGGGGAGGGTAGGATTAATTTTGTACTCAACAACCAAACATTTGTTCTCCAAGCTGGAGTTCACGATATATTTTGGGGCTGCGATGTTCTATTACTTCTCCTTTTGTAAATCAATTCTTCTGTTTGAGTATTTCAAAGCTTCTTTACTATTTTAATAGACGTTTATTTATACTTGGTCAAGAAAATGCCAGATTTTTAGTGACGCTAGATCTTCCTTCCCGTTGCCAATGGAGGAAACGGCGCCACGATCAAAACTAAAGTGCAATGTCGCAGTTATCGATAAGACCGATAAGTTTACACAATTCATTATCACATTCAGAACAAGTAAGTAAATTGGTAAATTAGAGTAGCGACCTAAGTTAAAAGTATAGATCTTTAATTACATTGTAGGTGTTAAGCTTAATGACTGAAAAATCAAAAATGGAAAATTCTTTTGAAAGAATTTAGCACAATCATTAAATGGTTCCTGATTGTTATTGTTATAGGATGAAGATAATCTTTCACATTTAGACGACTTTGATAATCCTGGTGAGTTTATGAATTATTTATGAGCAGAGCAAGGGAATATGCATGCTTATTTTCAAGTGTGAATTAGACTTGCTTGTGCTTCTGTCATAGTGTAAACCCTAGACAAACTTTCACACATGACTGGGTCTGGCAGTAATGCTTCTGGAGTTCGGCCAGTCTGATAATCAAATAAAGCACGGCGCAAACACTTTCAACATGTGTTTCAATATTCATTCAACTTTGTTGAACAGCAATGTTGAATGTGTTTGCGCAGAGCTTTCAACATGTGTTTTCCAACGTGTATTCAACATTAAGCCATTTCAACATTGTTTCAACATTTCTTTTGTTTTAGCGTTTTCGCCCAGTTTAAAACAACTTTATTTTTATTTAATTTAAAAAGATTGTAGGTTGGATAGTGTACTTTGCTGCACCAACTTTGGTGTTTAATAAAATAAAACCTAGCTTTCCACCTACGTGGTCATCTTCAGGGTTACAATGAATCTCGTACAATAACATAAAAACAATAACTTTATTTTTATATACTTTTTATTTTTACATGCTTATAAAACAGGTTTATTTTGAGCTGCATAGTACAGTGTGCGTGTGTATTTCTAATGTCAACAATTTGAGTAGCCTATGATAAATATTATATTTTCTATTTACTGTATTTGATAAGAGATCATCTTCTAGCAATATTGCATTCCATTATTTAAATTATGTCAAAATGTTCTCTTTCAGAAGGGCTCTCAAATACATCAACACTCCTTCATGCTGCTGCTGTCAATGGCAACAAACGTATGCTGCAAAAATTACTCCAAGAAGGTAAAAGATCTTAACGACCTTTGTAAAATGATTACAAGATTTGGTATTCTATCTATGAACCATTGAATTGTGATTTGCGTTTAATCTTATCATACCCTGTACCGAGAAAGATAAATCATGATAGACTTAGCTGTTGAGTAACAGCTCTCAACATGGATGAATAGTTTTTTCAATTTGCCAGTTTCCTATCTGTAGTCTACTCTGTAGTTTGCCCTCTGCAGTTTTTAATGTTTCAATATTTTTTTTTCTTTTTTTGATATAGTCAATTCTAGTGATGAGATAAACAGAGGAGATCAGTTCGGTAGAACACCTTTGGTAAGTATATTATATCCATTGATTAACTTTAAAAATATTGAACTTAAACATGAGCACTTACACCGTAAATGAAAAATGCTTACAGCAGAAACTCTTGTACAGTGACTTCAATGTTCAAATGAAATTGTTAAGATTTAGGTTTTTCTTCAACTTTGGGGTTGAGCTTGCTGCATATCAGCCTGAACAAGTTTACAAAAAGCTCCACCCCTAATATTGAAGGAAATAACAAAATTATAACTTTGAAATGAAGAAGTCACAATGCAACAATTTTCACTGTAATAATAGAATTTTACTTGAAGGACATTTACTACTACATTGAAATTATTTTTGCTTTCAAGGTCTACAGTGTGCTTGGAGACCGTTTAGACTGTGCAAAGCTGCTTATTCTGTATGGAGCCAGTGTAAGTTTTTCTATATATTAAAAGGATGTTTGACGTACTCTTGACTATTGTGCAAAGCCTCCAGTGCTGAAGGGATAGGGGTGAGGGATTGAGAGAGGCTTTATAAATACATGTATGAACTGACTTTTACAGGTATCGATGAGTGATTTTGATGGACGAACGCCACTACACTGGGCAGCATATCAGGTAAAATTAAATAACTAGATACTCCTTGAAAGTTTAGTAAATTGTACCCTGCCATGGATATCTATGTTTAGAATTATTATTACACACTTAAGGCTATATAATCAACTGGCATCTTCAAAAATCACTGGTAAAGGTTTTTGATTGCGTGACATTATCCTTTGCCAGTGTTGAGAATGCATTTGACATTTTCTTTAATCTGATATAAAACACAGATAAATTGAAATTCAGCTTTAAAATGTGATGAATTAAACATCAGTACCTTTTAAAATTTCAGTGCCGCACCGTATGATAAACATCATTGATTTTTATTACAGCCAAACCTACTGAAGCGTTCCTATCGAGGTTGGAAGGCTCGATTTATTATTCCAAATTTGGTTCCAAATTTATATTTAAACGTGCAAAAACAAAAMCKACAATGTRAATTTCAAATCTGACGTCGATTTGAACCTCGATTCCTGATTGGATTATTCCAATAATAAAACGAAGTGCATGTTGGGTAAAGCGCGGGAATGACGTTCACTCGTTCGCGGCAGTGCATTCAAAAAGTTGTTTCACGATGTCGACGATACAAGGATGGTTTCTGATGCTTCCAAACCTCTATGTCCTCCAGAATATCATATGTCAAAACAACAGGCTGCTTACCGCTATGTCCTAACGGATTGACAGAGGCATACCGACGATAATGTTCGATGACGTTTGTTACGCACCGAAGAGTTACGCGAAGCTAGCCGTTCAGAACTTCCGTTTTTGTGATACCGCCGTTAAATAATTGTATAATGTGTTGTCTTTCAGCAATCGATAAAGGTTTTCCTGGGGCGTACGGCCTCTGAAGACTATTCACCGCCGCCATTTTTTTTCGAAATATGCAACGTACTGTTTATTTTTGGAATAATCCAATCAGGAATCGAGGTTCAAATCGACGTCAGATTTGAAATTTACATTGTCGGTTTTGTTTTTGCACGTTTAAATATAAATTTGAAACCAAATTTGGAATAATAWATCRAGCCTTCCAACCTCGATAGGAACGCTTCAGTAGGTTTGGCTGTAATGCATAATAAATAATGTTTTTAGGGAAGCCAAAAGTGTGTGAAATTGCTGTTAGCAAGGGGAGCTGACTGGAAGGCAAAAGACACAAAGGGAAGGTAATACAGGATGTTCCGTAGTGTCGTCCTTAAAGGCCCTTCTTTATGTCAATATGAGTTGGTTTTGTTTACAGTGTTCTTCCGTCCAATGCCATTGGAAATTTCAGTGTATAGAACTCATATAGATAGTATGTGTGATTTTTCTGCGCTAGCAGTAGTTTGGTGTACCTGGAAGTCCTAATTTAACTTGTTTATTACTGTTTCAGAACACCACTACATTTTGCTGCCAGTCATCAGTCCTCTAAGGTAGGTAAATCTGTTCTTGTGTGATTCTAGTTTCTTATACTCATGGGAAGTAGAACTATGTAAGCTGTGTTGGTGCTTGTCATGTTCAATACAGTAAGTTGTGAAGAAACAATATGTTGTACACAGTGAAAACAGATACAAAACTCACTGTCTGATGTTTTGGACATGGCCTCATCCTGGCTTGTAATAAACCAAAGTGGAATTATATTATTTATTCAGTTTTAAATTAAAAATGTACAAATGGTTAATATACTACAATTCCAAAATATATACGGTTTCCCCATGTATATTTTTTGAAATATATTCTTTTTTTTAGTGTTTAGCTGTTTTACTAAAGAAGGCACCCAAGGGTGATGTCCATGTTGATGACCCTGATAATGATTCCATGACAGCTTTACATTGGGGAGCATCTTATGGCAATACAGAACATGTCAGGATGCTTTTGAAGGCAAAAGCATCTGTAAAGCTGCTTGACTTGGAAAGTAAGGCACTGTGTTGTTTAGGGGGCCATAGCTCACCATGACGTATTGGCTCTATGAATTTGTTTGCATTTACATGAAATCTGAGATTTTTTTATTTCTATTTTTCAACAGGTAAAACACCATTACATTGGGCGACAACCAACCGAAATCCAAGTGTTGTCAAACTTATTCTGGTAACATTTTTTTTTTCTCGCAGTACAATGATTATCTTGGTCATAAAAATTTGCAATAATTGTAAAAGCTGTTGTAATTTAGCTATATTTTATGCATTTAGTGCTAACAGTATTGCCTCCTTCTAAGCACTATAACTTTCTTTCATTTCTATATTGTGTTGATCATAGTGCCATGCGGTCCTCATATTCATATCCTAACAGTATATCTACTTGTTTCTCAGGAACAAACCACTGAAATCATAAACTGGAAGGATGTTGAAGGCAGAACAGCATTACATCTTGCTGTAGCCAGACAAAATGAAGATGTTGTCAAATCACTTTTAGTTGTGGAAGATTGTAATCCTTCTCTTCAGGATAACATGGGACGCACACCACTTCACTGGGCCACTGTTTTAGGTAAAAAGCAAATCGATAGGTAAAGCTTTAATGTTTTTTAGAGCATTTTCAAAACCTTCAACTTCATCTACAACTGTCTGCCTGCACAGTTTAGCAAATAAATATAATATACTTCTGTCTTGCCACTTATCCAATTAGCATCTTGATCCCAGACAAGATTACACAATTCTAGAGCATTGATTGATTAATAAGTAAGACAAAAGTATGCAAATACATTAACAGTGGCCAAACGTTTACATGTTGTAAGTTTGGCTTGATCCAAGTGTCTCTAGCTGTTTACTTTATTCTAAGGCAGTAATTTCACTCACAGTTTTCTCAATGTGTTTTTAGAAAATTCTCGTATTGTGAAGCTGTTACTTCGTAGAGGAGCGGACTACAAGGTTGCAGATGGTAACGGGTCAACTGTCCTTCATTATGCTGCTCAGGGTGATTTTGCTCAAACTGTTGAAGTGTTACTTTCAAGTTGTGATATTAAAGACACTCCTGATGATAAAGGCAGAACTGCTTTAATGTGGGCAGCTGGAAAAGGTATTAAACCTAAATTGCAGTGAAGTGTATTTGATGCACTCAACAAACACATGAAAGGGTGTTTCAGAGGAAAGGAATAACACTTACTAATTAATACTGTTTGAATATCATCCAAGTAGAATTATAGCTTAAATGTCTCATAAGGAAAGAGATGGATGAACAGTTGATTGATTGAATAGGATTTTTTTTAGGGGCAAGTTCATCTCTAGATGCTATGCTCCGTCATCATCTTGATGTCCATGAGACGGACAATGCAGGTCGAACAGCTCTTCACATTGCTGCGTACACAGGAGATGTCAATTGTGTGGAGATGCTGTTAAAATATGGCGCTAGCGTCAATGCCTTGGATCAGCTTAACCACACTCCATTGTTTAGAGCTTGTGAGATGGGATATGCTGATGTTGTAAATTTGCTAAAAGACAGTAAGTGAAGTGCAATTATGAAGTATTAGGTTATTATTAATTTTAAGTATTAAAATTTTAATTTTCATCTAATATAATATTTTTGTATTGGGTTGGTGTCTGAATTTAATTCTTTATAGAAGCTGGGATAAAAAGTCTCATCTAAACTGTTCACTTGTAAAATATATTTATATTTAATATGAAAATTATTAGATTGGAATCATTAAATTAAAATTTTATACTTTTATATAATGATAATGCTTTAGGAGGCAAATCTCTGTAGGATTTTTCAGCAATTACTATTTACGATTCAATCATCAAAAACATTTAGAATAATTATGGTATTGCTTTATTTTAGCATTCGTTTTCTTATTATTGTGTATTATAGATAAAGCCATGCTAGATTTAGAAGATCAAGATGGCCGGTCTCCTCTTCATTGGGCTGCTCTAAATGGACATGTTCATATTTGCTTTATCCTTGTTACTAATAATGCTCAAGTCAATAGAGGAGATAGATTAGGGTAAGTATAAAATAGGGGGAGGCTTCAGTTAGCGATTACTCATACAGGGGGGTACAGTGGGGTTGTCTTTAGAATCTCAAACACGTGATAGTGTTACAGACAGACTTACAATACGATAACAGAGTGGTTACCCGTCTTAAGACAGGAGTAACCACAAAAAAAAAACAACAACAACAACAACCCTGAACTAAAACAGTAATTCCTCTTATTTTATGTGCTGTCTTTACAGCAAAAACCCTTGTATTGCGACCAAGAAGTTTTGACATTTTTTTGCTTGCCATTTTTTTCTTTTTTTATGCAACTTATTAGAGAAAAGTTCTAAAAAAAAACTTAATATAATAATAAAACTTAATGCATTTGTACCAAATCATCCATGTTTGACCAAAAATGGTTGCAGCAGTCCTTTTTGTTTTTGGGATTTCTATCAAAAAGTTTGATATGGATATATTGTTATAATTCCAGTTGTACACCACTGCATTGTGCTGCTTATGGAGGTTTTGTGAATTGTATGTCACTTTTGATTGACAATGGGGCTGATGTGAACAAGCTTGACAACGAAGGGACCTCTGCCTTTCACTGGTCGTGTTCCTCTGGCCATCTTGAAGCAGTCAAACTACTGTTTAGGAAAAAAGCCTTCCCTAACTACACTAAGCTCAACGAAGAAAGGTATTATTCCGCATAACTGTGCCTTTTTTCCGTATAACTGTGCCTTTTAATTACCATTGTGTACTGACGGATCCAGAAGCATTTCCTTTGTTTTGATATATTACTGTTATATCCCGAAGTTAAACGAGGTACTTTTGGTTTTTCTAGGCGACGTTGAAATCGGCTGGAAATCAGCTTTCTTTGAAATTTTTCTTTATGTCATAAAACGACTATTTTTTTGCAGTAAATTGAAAATAAATCATGTTTTAAAAACTTCCAACTGCGTACAACACAGACAACACTGTTTATTTGAGGAAAATTACGTTTGATAAACTAGTTGGTTTAAAAATGTTGGAGTGTTGGAGGATGCATGCGAACAGTTATGAAACACTTTCAGTTTTTCTCACCATCTTTCTTCCCTTTCCATTCCAATTCCTTTCAATTGCATTCCCATCGGATCGATCGACTTCCATTTCTCTTTTTTTTTTCAATTGCATTGAGTTTTCAACTGATGTTTATATTGCAGATTAACACCATTGGACTTTGCTATCATAGGAGACCATCAAGATGTGGCGCAGGTAATATTATTTCACTTATCGTTACTATATAAAACGAAAAAAACTCTGAATTATCGCAGGGTAAAATTAAATGCCCGCGGTACATCATGGAATCTTCTGTTGGTACAAATTCCGATATTCGACTTCCTATTGCTCGATTTTGCCTAAATTTTTGTCTATTGTGCCTTCTAGTACATGATTGAGCAAGGCGGTCTGACCTTTCGTGCTATTCAAGACGTAGCAGCTACAACAATACAATCATGTTGGCGCGGCTATCGCGTTCGTAAGCCTTTCCAGAAACGTAAAACGCTGTACATGCGCCATGAGCAGCTAAAAAGAGACATGAAGAGAAGAAACAGCGCGGCTAAAGAAGAAGAACTAAAATCGCATACTGTTGAGGCAGCTATGTCTGCAAGTGTTGAGCCTCAGGTTCCTTTGTGGGGTGTCGGTCGTCGACAGGCTTTGTGTCACAGTACCTCTGGTGGTCTCTTTCAACTAGATCTCGACTTACAGCCTGAAGGAAAGGCTCATGACTATAGTGATGATGATCATGACAGTTACGAGACGGTCTTGGACGGGGAGACTAGTGATGGGGAGTACGATTTCCTATCGACGATTTTAGAAGCGTCGTTTCCTTCGGTAAATGGGAGTGTATTTGAAACTATGGCAGACAGAGATGGCACTATTAAACAAAACAATAGAATATCGCTAGCTGCTGAAACTATCGCCGAAAATGAGGATGAAAAACACGAACAAGAATCGCAAGTTATGGAGGAGAGTCAAAATTCGTCTTCTTTAGATAATCGTATTTCCAATAACCCACCTGATATAACGTCTGCTGAACGAAGTAATACTTCTTGCAGTGAGGATCGCGAGCTAGACGACTGCACCGATTTCACTCCTCCACCCAATGTAGCGTCCCCTGCACGAAGCAATACTTCTTGCAGTGAGGATCGCGAGCAAGACGGCCGCACAGATTTCATTCCCCCGTCCAATGTAGCGACTGCTGACAGAAGCAATGCTTTTTACAGTGAGGATGGCGAGCTAGATGACTGCACAGATTTCATTCCTCCGTCCAATGATGCGTCTACTGAACGAACTAATACTAGTTCTCGCAGTGAAGATCGCAGACTAGATGGTCGTACAGATTTTATTCCTCTGCGCGAAAATAAAATTTTACTTCATTCACAGACTTCTGAAAATGCTCGCAAAGAGAGAAAAAGACGTGAGTTGATTCGTGCTAAAATGCAGGCTGCAACGACTATCCAACGATGGTACAGAAGAAATCGCATATCAAAGCAACATGAATATWGTGTTGCAGAATTGCAAAATGACCATGAAGAGCTCATTAAACAAATTGCAGCGTTAACAATTCAACTTTGGTGGAGAAAATACCTTTGCAGGCATTATCATCATGATAATCATGAAATTACACATTCTGGTCACGAGTTTAGCAGATCAGAGACAAGTAAGGAGAATTATTCTCAATTTAAGACATCTAGAACGAGGAAAAAGGATTCACAAGTCCGAGGCTTTGTGCAAAATTCTTGGAAAGGTTCCAGAAGTAACCGCAAAAACGTTTCTAGTGTAACTTCAATTGGATCACAGAGGCGAAGCACGCTTAGCTCTGTGTCTGGAAGAAGGAGTACCAGGCCTAGTTTATCGCAAAAAAGGGTTACCAACAATAAAATCAGACCTAGTGTTGGTAGGATGACCAAGACTGGATGGGGTCAGGATTTTGATGTGAATTTTTCAAGGAAACTAAGTAAAAATAGTTGGAAAAGCTAGCAAACTACAGAACTTTCAAAACTTGGATAATAAGAGTTATAAATATAGATGAAAGATAAACAAAAAGAAATTAAATTATTAAAAGTGGAAAATGTCATGGATTTTTTTTGAGTTTGATAGGTCGTGAGGCCGTAACCGAAAATACCCGAAAGGAATATCAACTGGTCTAATTGTTTTAGTATTCACCAAACTATAGGGCAAATTTGAAAAAAAATAAAGAACAATTTTTGAATAGGGTCTATGTTCATTATCTTCCATAAAAGTATGGAAGCCGTAGCCATCTTGGAGATAACAACATTTTAGTATCATTTCCATCATGGCGGCCGAACTTTCGAGGCCTTCTGAGATCTTCTGATAATGGAAGAAGTATGAGTAGATATTTCCGGTGGTCATTTTGCGAGATTAAGTATATTCCAAATTCCATGGTACCTCTGGTTGGTAATTTCCGGCCATTTCAAAATAGAATGGTATCAGTTGTATGTCATACTTAAACGTTTAGGTTTTCCTAGAGTGATAATGCAGATTATTCACACACACCCAACTCACACCAGACTGTTGTATGTTTTCATAAATTTACTTTCAAGTGGTAATTAGCGAAATTAAGCCATTAATTTTCAACAAATAATTTATGAAAACAATGCTTATCGAATCAAAAAGTATTGAAAATATACAATTGATATTGGCTTTGGCATCCTGGCGAAGGATTAGACTACAGCAAGTGATTTTAGCGCTAAATAGGTCAATTGTTTGTTTACAAATTGGCTAGAAATCAGGAAATAGCGTTTTCAAGTACAGTCGATACGCGAAATTTCTGCCACTTGCACTTAATTTTAACTTACCCCCAAGCGCTCGCTCACATGATTGTACTTTGACAAGTAATTTATCGTCTGAAGGCTGTTATAAAATCCTAATTGTCTGAAACTACTGTATGGAAACAAGCGTTGAACTACGTGATTGCTTCTGAATATGAGAGTGATTCTGGAGATTGCGTATGTGTGCTTATGTAGCCTTGGTATCCAGACTCTTTGGTAAATTAGACCAAAAATAATTCCGTAATTTCTGAAGGAAGATGAAGTGGTTCAAGCGTATCAATGAAATGTGCTTAGTGATAGAAAAACGAGCGCACGAGTGAAATGACAATTAGCAAAGTTAACCACACAGGGATTAACACTTTATGAGGTGTTTTTATTGCTCATATTAATAAATTATAATTTGATTTACAGTGATTCTTAATCGTAGTATTTTCCTTGAAAGCGTTTACTTATATTCTAGCTGGTTTAATGGTGTTTTCCCATGGTTCAAAAAGGATGATTCCGTCCCCAAAAAGCAAGCTAAATCCTAACAAAAATAGTTTAATTACAATTTCATTATATGACAGATTTTTAATCTATAATATCTTAATACAACCAGCCTCAAAATACTGGCAAATTCGTGTTAACTTCGTAGATTTTACAACAAGAACTTAACGTCTAATCCTCATTCATACGCACGATTCTCGGTTAGATATATTGATAGCAATGTCATCACCAATGTCAGCTATAAAACCAAGTTCATACATTACTAGAGCCCTACCAACTACAAATAAAACGTCCTCCCTGTCTGTCAGCTCAAGGACACTGCACATATCATCCGTTGATAAAGTCACATTAGCACCAGCTTTGAGTAGAGCAGCCACGCAAGAGATGTTCCCATGATAGACAGCATCATGTAGCGCCGTCCATCCATACTCGTCCTTAGCATTTACTTCAGCTCCTTGATCAAGAAGTAACTGAAGACAGTCATAACTACCTTCTACCGCTGCGCGATGTAGTGGTGTAAGTCCATTAGGACCAGGTCTATTTATATCAACCTTTCTTGACTTAATTAAATGACAAGCTTCCACGAATTCGTCATTGATAATTGCAATATCAAGCAAGATTTCTGATGGGAAATGGACTTGTTTCTTCTTTTTTGGTTTCGTTATGTGCTGTGCGAGGATTGATGCAGTCCGCGTTGGATGCGTCTTTCGGCGTACTTTGTTATTAGTATTACTATTATTACTTGATGAGTTCTTGGTTTCTTCAAGGTTTCTATTTCTTTTTGAATGGATAGCAGAGAGTTCTTGTTGAGTTACAGGGTTCGTTTCTCGTCTTTGCACAGTGACAGCACTATTTTTCTGCGAAAGAGAGTCTATTACGAGAGATTCCGACGATTCATTGTCCATGCCTATGTATCCAGAGTCACAAATACTCGATTCGGTAGATTGTTTAAAATCACTGTCCGTTATATCAAGAGCTTTCTTGGTGATTTTAGACTTCAAAAAGCTTGCCAAAGGCGGGAGGATTCGTTTTTCTGGTGGAAACTTTTGAATTTCTTTGTTTATTTTCTGTTTCAGCTTTTTCGGTTTGTCCATTTCTTTGAGTCTTTCCCTTAAAAGGAAATCTTTTCCGTCCTTTGCCATGACTTTGGCTAACAAAAGCACCATTTCATCGTCACTTGCGCAATCCAACGGAATCTTCCCGCAGTCAGATACAACGCCTGTATCAGCACCGTACTGAAGAAGCAGTTGAGCCATCAGATGGTTGCTGTCGATGGCCGCTAAATGTAGAGCTGTTAGTCCTTGTTTGTCTTTAGCATTAACATTAGCGGTTTGTCTATCCAGTATCGATGATACCAGTAATAAATTGTCCTCACGAATTCCTCTATGAAGCGTTTCGCCGTGCATTTTGTATAAATCTTGTATTCTTTTTCTAATGATATTCGACTTTCCGAAAACACCTGTAATTTCCAGAAGCTTCTCTGATACCGTCTTCACCGTTTGACAGTCAAGTCGTAATGACTTTGTAACGGAGATCCATTCAATCTATGTATTGTTTATGATATTTTTATTGATTACCATGTTGCCGTAGTTATTGTGTTGTTTTTGCGTATAACGTCATCTCTCTTGGGAGATTACACCGTTGCTTTATTGAGCAATCGCGGGCAAAGCCTCTTCAAATTGATCTTGATTATCCTACCCCACAGGGTGATGGCTCAAGATTGTATCTCTTGAAGTTAACTTGTGATTTCTGGCGTCGGGTATTATTTTTTTCCAGATATAAAGTACAACTGTCTTCTTTCTAACTAAATCATTTATCATTGTGCCCCGACTTTGCGATATAAACAAAAAGAAACCCAAAGGTTCCAAACTGATTTTTCGTAACTTTATTTGGAATTATTTTAAATCTCTTTATTTATAATGCTAAAACCATCCTAAACACACCATAAGTATTATTATATTGCATTAAGTACTTCATATTTCCAGATTCATAACCAGTTATACCGGAGTTTCTCGATTTAGAAGCCATTTTGATAATAGTACAGTTGGTTATCGCTTTACTGTAGACCTTTTGATGTTAGTTTTTATTCTTCCGCGTTAATTTATTTAGCAATTATTTTATTTGTTTTAATATTTAGAATCGTTGTCCGTTGGCTTTCCATAAATCTAGACAGAATATAGTTGAATATTTTCTTGCAGACGTCCTGGCACAGTTATAGCACTAACCACGGTCCCAAATTAAAACGAGAACAAACTAAAGATTCCATAATGAAATGAATGTTGTTGTTTTTTAAGTTGAGAAAAGCAGCTTTCCATTGACTAAAATATCTAGCTTTTCTCTGCTTTGATTCTGTATTCATATTCAGAAAGCGGATAATATCTTTTTATGATATTAAACAGCCTTGGCAACACACTCCTTCCATTTCTCAAGAATGTCCGCTTAGAGTAGATACAACTTCACCCTGAATTACTTTCCAAGCATCGGGACACTAAATCTTGATTAAATTCYATGACTTTTAAGTTTTCTCATGACACTTTTTTTTGCTATTTTTAAACGCCTACTTAGTTTGTATGTACACAGTCGCAGTAGTTGAATCAAATCAAGAGCTAACAAAACATAATGTCATGGGTAAATTTTTTCAGGAAATACTTTTCATGTTCCTGTTTACCTTTTGACAACATAAATGTTAGCGACTAAGCACGCATTTGTATTTCACATTATTAGTGATAACGACCTATTGTTTTTAACATTTGAAAACCTTTGTTTTGGGAGTTTTTTGAATCCGCCGTCTAAACAATACGTAAGAGTGCATCAAAAGAGCCGATACCTGGACAACCGCTTGTTACGGATTACGCAGTGAAGCCTGCGTAAGATTCATTGAAGGTTAAGACTCCTCCTCCTGTCTCGTGTCTAGCTGCCTCGCTAGGCAAGTACTGGCATGAAACATGGCAAGCACGTTTACGCTTCTAATGGATGCATACTTTTACCATATAATCACGTCTACGTCATCATGCGAGTCCGCGCCATGGACATGCGACAAACATGGAAGACATTTTCAGCAGGAATTCATTATAACCATTTGAAAGTAGACGTCTTAGCGTTTACGATTGGGCGGAATGTTTAAACGCATCAAAAGGTATGGGCGTTTACGTGAGTAACGGGGCGTAAAGGTCCAATACTAAAAACCGTAATTGTCCTTTTAGACCTGTTAGGTACGGCAAATCTCAAAAGCGCCGAATTCAATGAACATTACTCCGACCATAGTTATCAACTATGCTCCGACCTTTTGATTCTACTCAAAGTAGCGCTGTATTGTGTTAGGCAAGTCGGACTTTCAAAGCGAGTCGTTTGGAAGTAACTGCAAAACTGTCCGCCATCTTGAAAGGAAGCCGTGTCTTACTGTTAAGATTTGTGAATAATTTTTTAATGATTATTTAAGTACGGAAAATGTATCTACCACTGGTCACCACTGCAAGCTCAACCGTTATCTCGTTTTAACGCAAAGGCTCGACCAGAAGTACTTCTGGCTCGACTACTTTTCAAGATGGCGTCTGAAATTTTAAATAAAGTTGCTTAATATTTCATGACAACTTCAATTGAAAAGAAACTAAGCTGCATTAAAACTGCAAATTGCAAATCTTTGTCTAACAATCCTATCTAAACCCTAAAGCATCCATTTTTAGTCTCAAAACAGTCTCGTATACATACTGAAAGTTGTGTAAAAAGATAAATTTAACATCGTAAAAAAGTAGGCGAAACAACTTACTGACGTTTCAGACGTTAATTCCTCGTCGGAGTTAAAAAGAAGTCTACATACTGAGCTCTTAGAATGAAAACTGCTAGATAGACACAACACCCCTAGTAGAAAAATACAAGTCTGTCCAAAACGAATTAAGTAGGTCATTCATGCAAAATGCAGTACGTACAACATCGAAAGATAGTTCTTAAGGCGCTAGCATGAGTCAGTCACTGAAGATGGTTAAGGCTAGAGTGTTTGACGTCTTTAGTGGCTATTTCATCTTCACACGAGTAACGCTAGGTGAGGGAAGCGAGGAGACAGTCAAAAGATAAGACAGAATACGCCTTTTTCTTGTTCAAAGCGAACAACCGCTGATTTAGTGGACAACAGTCTCTCATGTGCAGAGACTTTATCATAAACAAAAGAAAGCACGAAAAAATGTTGTCATTACAATAGCGCTAAGCCTGCATTCCCAGAAGGTTCAACGTCTTGCTCAGGCTAAGCCTCAAATCGTAGAAGATTCAAATTTCTAGAGCTATTGTATTATTTTCAACATTTTTTCGTGCTTTCTTTTGCCCTCTACGCAAGCGAGTCTGCTGTCTACTAAAACAGCGGTCGCTCGCATTGAACTGGAAAAAGGCTTATTTGTGACTAACTTGTTCCGACTGTCTAGTGGGAGCAGCTGTGATGGGCTATAATTACCAATCCTTTTCAGGTGTAGAAACAAAGACGACAACACCTAATATTATCAGAAGATGCGTCATCATTGTGGGTGACGCAACCAATAGACGTCATATCTAAAGCTAAATATATGTCAATTCTATATAAGCAGAATAATGCGAGCCGATCCTCGCAACTTTTAGCTTGATAACTCTGTTATTATTATCATAATTTTTTTCATTTTGCATGTTCCATGCAGTGTACAAGAATACTTAATAACTAACATATACTTCATTACGGTAGGCTTAAGTGACCGACCAGAAAATTATTCTCGGGACACCAAAAGAGTCAATCGTTTACGGAATCTTTAGTTCAGCAGCTGTATAAAGAGAGCTTGCTATTGTGCGAAAGAAGACTCCTTTCACACAGATGCGTTATCAACTTTATATTTTCATTTATTTTATGTCCCCAATTAATGAATAAAAAGAATTCAAGAATCGACACAGAAGAGTCAGTATAGTCGAGAGAACAGAATGGAAAATTTACAGACTGACCATATAGCCAAAGAGAGGTCGTGCTGCATTTTCGTGACCGGTTCTTTTAAGAACAAAATTCGACTTGATGTTTCTGAACATTGACGGCGGTATTTTTTTGAAAATGCCCTAATTTCAATGGAAAAGTTTAAAAACAACATGTAGACTGCAACAGACTCGAGGCGCTTTCTACTGAGAACTTTTGTGTGTTTTCCTGTTTTTAAGGCCTTTTCAACTGCCATTGAAAACGAGCAAAGAAAAGGGTTTCAAGCGGTAGCATGAACCCCAAGTATTTGAATAAAATTTTACAAATTATCTACTATAATAATCAATTATCAGAGTGCATGTCAACAAATAGTGCCGTTCACGAAGAATAATTGTTCTATCGACTTTTAATCACATAATTGACACTTCAATAGATAATTATTGAAAAGATAATTGTTTTTAGAGCGCCCCTTTTGTTGAATAGAAAAGCCATTAATAGTCTCTTGGGACGTCATTCAAAGTATGTTACGTACGGTTTTTGTTTAGTGTTGTTTTACAAAATCCTAACCTGGCAGATTTATCTCACTAACTGAATCTGATCGTAAATTGTTAAACCCGGAGTTTAAATGGCGTTTAAATCACCTTTAAGGCACCTATATTGAACTTAATTAAGTACACCAATTTAATACTGGAAGATATTGGGAATCATGGAACATCTAATGGCGCCGACGATCCGGCACCGATCGAACACTATTTCAACCGTTTTGGATGTAATTCGTGAATTTCCCGAAATGGACAATCAAGAAATTCACCATGGTACCACGACATACGCGCCAAGTATAGAGATAAGCGAAGACAGCCTTACACTAGACAAATGGTCTCGACCAATACACACATCCACATGCAGAAGATCTAGTAGTCCGGAGGGCAAAGATTCCCTGAAGATCATTAAACAGCGTAGAGATAGCTATTTAAGGAGCATGTTTACCCAAGGAAGTTCTACAGTAAAAAAGGCTGATAATAATAATACAAGGGGAGGTGAGGCAAAACGCACAAAGAGTAGGAGTGGTTCAACGCCTACTAATGAAGTTCAAATAGATCTTAACACGTTGGACGATACAAACAGAACAATTACTCAAAACGAAGAGATCTTGAATATGAAGAACAGTCTAACGATGGGTGTCGACAAGAGAGTAACATTTTACAGAGAAGCCTTATTACACGACGCGATACAACGCGATGACCTAACCGAGCTTTGCGATGTACTCAACAAGCATACAGATGTTAACCTGGATAAACCGAATGCATTTGGAATAACTCCCTTGCATCGTGCAGCTATGGACGGTGCGTATCGTTGTATGAACCTTCTTCTAGCGCGAAACGTAAACGTCAAAGTACGTGATATTTACGGCTGGACACCGTTACACGATGCGGTTTTTCATGGACATATCCGCTGTGCTGCTGCACTTATCACCGCAGGCTCTAATGTTGAAGCTGAGACTAACGATTTCACAAAACCCATAGAAATGGCCCATGAGGATGAAATGTTACTTCTAGTTGGTCGTGCTATGACCAGTCCTGGTTATGTATACGACCCCGACAGAGAGACATTAGTTTGACAACCAGAAAGAGCTCCATAATTGATATAAAATGTATGTAAAAACCTGTTAGTGTACTTGTTGGATTCATAAATTATCATGTACATTAGTTCAAGACATTTATAGAAGAGCGATATGGATAGGGAATAACAGAAAATTAAACATTAGAAAACAATAGGATTAGATTGCACCAACTTAAGAATTTAACAGAACCATTCTACAACGATTCAGTTTTTTCTATATCCTCTATATACACCTACTTGCGAAAACGTTGTCATAAAAAAATAGGACATTTGTATTTTAGTAAAAAGGAATAAATTAAAAASACAAARGAAKATCACYGAGGCTGAACGCTTTCTTTTGTCTTGTTTTAATTTATTCCTTTTTACTAAATTCGAATGTTCTATTTTCTATGACAACGTTTCTGCAAGTAGGTGTATGTCTGTCTTCAGTTTAGATTAAGAATTACCTCAAAAAGAGTAAAGACACTGTGTTTTTAAAACCACAATATTTAATGTAAAGTGTAATCATCAAAACCACGGAAAATAACACCATATTCAGGAATTATTCTTTCTACTGTGAATAAAACGCTGATATCTGTTTCCTGGTCAAGTGTTTTTAAAAACACGATATACTTTTTTACGTTTTTTTCCAACCGTGACAAAAACGTCGTTTACTAAGCAGTCATAACTGTATTAGTTGTCATTGCGACAAGGTCCGTAACTACGGGAATACCAGTTCGAAGAAATTGCAGCTTGTTTTGGATCTCTCCCTGGTCTTTGACCGAGATTGACAGTCCCAAGTCAGCATTGTTCTTTGATTTAGCAATGTAGCTGTACACCTGACTAACGTTATGGACATTCTGCTCTACATTACAAGCATCGAGAACTTCCTTACATACCATCAAACAAATTAACTCTTGCTCAGTCCATTCGGAGTTCCTGGTCACTTCTTCGGAATCTCCTTTGACAAGAGCTGGCTTGAGCTTATATCCTTTTCGTTTCTTTCGGGGCGTTTCTCCGTCAACAACATTCTCTTGTGTCTCTTCAGGCTTCCCGTTGCCACAGCCATTGCAATAACACTTCGTTGTACAAGGAAGACCTGCTTTCGCACAGCAACATGACGCTCTTTCCTTGTTCAGACATGCACTCTTGTCGTTACGCTTACGGCTAGTGTTACACCTACAGGACAGTGGAGTTCCTGACACTGGTTTGTTCTGACAGTTGAAGCACTGGCAGTACACACAAGGAAGTTTGGCCAAAACACACGGGCATCTGGTGTCTTTAGGATCGCATGAAATTGTGGACGATTCGTTTGAGTATTTTTTCCTTCTTCCACATCTGCATTTGTTTTGTCCTGGGTTTGGTACTTGGATTTCTTTCATTTTGAAAGATAAAATGTTTTATAAGATGATATGGAGTTTGATAGGTAGGTAGATGGGAGGATGGGAAAGGAAGCTATATGGTAGGAAGGTAGGTAATGAGAAGAGAGGCACGCAAATGACATTTGGGAAGGGTTAAGACATCGTATAAGAACTTGTATAATTCTTCGTTTTCACTATACGTCACGGCGGCCATTTAAAGTAAACGTGAATCTAAAATTCTCATTTGCAGTTCATATGGCTTATTTTTACGATTGGCGTTCGCCATAAACGCGTATCTAAAACTCTCTATTACCATGACTGAATTACAGGCCAAAAATACAGCGAGAAAGTTGATTCAAATACATCCCTACAAAATGATAATTATGAATTATTATTTCAAATAAATCCTAATGCAAGTTAACTCATGAATATAATTTAGTATCAACCAAACTATCCAGCATTCTGATTGGCTATTGAGCTACTTTTTTTGTATATCTACCACTTGGTAATTTGACAGTCCATGTGGCCAACACATTATATGACCTCAAAGATCAGAGTATGAACTCGTAGTCTTCTAAAGGTTGTTAAAGCTACAATTTATCATTAAATATAATTAAGAAATATTAACTTCCTTTGAAAAAACCCAAATCAAGTTGCATGGTTTTGAGTTGTATGTCCTCTTATTAACACACTCTTGACGTCATAAAATGTTCAAAACTCAAGTGGACCCCCCAGCGCAGTGACTGCAAAGTTTTGAACATTTTATGACGTGTYCAATAAGAGGACATACAACTCAAAACCATGTGCAATTTGTTTTAACACATTTTTAGTCTAAAAATTAGCAAAAATCATTCTTTTCTTTCAATTGAGCATGTGCGAGACGTGATGTTGTGAGCACAGTGTGCATGTTGTCTTATTGACACACTCTAAGACTAATTAGCCGATCAGCTGTCAAGAATTTACCCAAGTGTGGTAAAATGTATAATAGTACTCACCATTTGTAGCATCATAGTGGCCAGGTGCTGAATGATTGTAGGCAATATAAACAGGATAAGCACTTGTAAACTTGGAAGGAAGAAAAGGAATAAACTTGACATTTGCTAATGAAGGTATTACGATGATTGGAACTTGTAGAACATTTGCACAAACTTTGATACACAGATCCCCAATGTCACTTGCAAAAAAACCTTCCTCACTAAATTTCTTCAAGTCATGTTCAAAGTTCATGTTAGACACATCAATCCAATCTTTATAACCAATAAAGTTTGTTTGCAATTCAGAAACAAATAGTTCTCTCAGTTTAGTGGTGTCTTCGTCTTGAGTTTTGCCCATTCCAAGTGACTCCAAAAACGTTCTAAGTTCTGGGCAGGATGGTTTAAGCTTTTCAATTTGACACACAATGCTTCTGAAAAGGCAGTTACCATCGCCTGGAACTTTGTCAAGTTGTAAGCCATATTCAGCAAGATTCTTGTGTAATGTTTTTGAGTTAATGTCTTGCTCACTTGATTGAGAATTAACCTTCATGTATGGTGTAACACCAAAACTTGACGAAAAAATTGGAATCTCTGAAACACCAAAAGATTTCTGGCACTTTTCTTTAAAGGCATTGATCAAATCTTGAATATGAAGAAGTCTTATGAACATGAACTCCAAAACATCAGCTGTTATTACAAGCATCGAGCAACTGCTTTCGCTCTCAAGGTAACATTCAATCACCAAAGGCTCTACTCCTGAGCAGGTGTTACCTGCCAATGCTTTTATATCAATCTTGCTATTATCAACAACGTCATTAGTGCTTGGCTTGGTTTTTATGTCGTAAGCCTCAATTGGCATCACCGGAATCACCTTTTTTCCTTTAAACAAATCTTTACATTGCTTCTTACAATTCCAGGCATATACCAGACAAGTAAAAATAGCAAAGGCCATTTGAGGAGTAATAACAGTTACACGAGCAAGGAACGACTTATGAATATACCTATGCAAGGCATCAATCTTTTCTGTGCCCTCTCCTGGTGGAATTCCTGACAAACATCCCTGTCTTATATGTTGGCGTAGAGTATCAAGAGCATCCATTGTTCCTTCTGATAGCTGACTCCTCCAGTTCGTTAAAAGAATATCTAAATTAGCTTCAATCTCTAGAGGTGAAACAGTTTCCTCACTTCGCTGGTCTTCTGATGTAGAGCTACTGAAAATCTGTAGTAACTTGTGTGCAAATACCATTGTGTCAGGATGCTCTTTAGGAAGAGTATCCGTCACTGACTTGATTGCATGAACTATACCCATTTTTACTACAACAGTGGGAAAAACTTGCTGATAAGCTTCCCGGTTTACACAGCAGTCAGATGCCAGTATAGTGTTCAGTTCTTGGTTGTTTGCATCTAGTCTGTGTTTGAATTGTAGCAGAGCATCCTTGATATCTTCAAAACCTTTTGCTTTAATGGGCTTCCACAAAACCACTTCTCCATTCTCATTCAGACCTAAAAACAATTTATCTAGATGCATTTCTTGGAATGAATCAATGGCTGGCCCTTTAACTTTACATTTTTTCTCCATTTTATATGAAGTGTCAATGACTAGAGTGTTACATGAAACACTGTTTAAGCATTTCTTGTATGCTTCCTTTTTTTGGTCAAAATCACACAAAAACACATGCATGAGTTTGTCTCCACTGGTAAATGAGTACAGAATGTTGTCTTGGAAGCTTTTGTTCACTTCAACAACTCCAGCAAGGTTATTTCTCTCTACAAACTTACGATAATTCATTGTTGCTATCAATTCTGTGACCTCTTGAAAAGTGTGTCCCATATTAACAGAAACAAGAAGAAAGTCAAGAAGATCATTGGAAAAACCACTTTTGTAGTGAAGAATGAAAGGCAGTCTTTTTGCTATATTTCTAGGAAGTTTTTGCAGGATTTCTGATGTTGCTGACATGTATGCATGATGTTTATCTTTCTTCAAGCATATGTAATAAGTCTGGATAAGAAGAATGTTACCACCAATGTCATAAATAAGTCTTGGTGCACGTTCTTTGCTTTTCAATGAATTCACTGCTTTAGCAAAACTTTGAACTTTCAAAGGGCTGTTACACACAGGACATCTGAGAGCTATATTGTAGTGCATCAAGGGACACCATATGAAGACCTTGGGGATCAAATGAGCTTTGTTGATGGGAAGATGGACAACATGGTCATATTTGGAATCTGTTGGAGACTTTTTGAATTCTTCAACGACTTCTTCTAGAATTTTGGATTCTTCTTCTCCAAGAATAACACACTGGTGGTAGTGGGGAAGCAAGAAAAATGGCAGCATAAAGTAAAGATACTTATAATGGTTCTTCATGATAACAAAGCTCTGTCAACCTGAAAATTAGAAAAATAGATATCATTGATTAAAGTAATTTATTTTGAACTCTGAAACACTATCCTGCAAAAGGACACTGAGGAGACATTAGAGGAGCTCTGAATCCTGAATCACTGCACAAAATCTTCCGAAATCCCACTAAAGTGCATTTTGTAAAGTATATATTACTTGCTCTGCAAAAAAAGAAATCTCAAAAGACAAAACTAAAATTATCTCATTATACTGTATAAACCATGAATGTTTTCCCGTATTACTATAAATGCAATTTTCCGTTATACTACAAAAAAATAAACCCTCAAACTCCAATGTCTTTTCTTCGCATGCAATTTTATTGTAGCATGAATTTTAATGCCAACGTCATTAGAGTCTTGATCAAGTCATTAGTATCTCTTTGCCCTCCTTTTAGTCAAATAGTTTTGCAGGTTGGTTTATATCACACAGCTAGCTATACATGCAAGGTTCCGAATTCCAATTTATCAAACAGACCTCTTTCTTTCAATTTTTCATTTCATTTCCTTATTTTCCCCTTTCTCATCAAATGTTTGTTGATCTACAGATGGTGAACAAAACATTTCTATAGTAGTATAAAATTTAACTATCATCTATGTCGTGGTCTCTTTTTACTAATCTTTTAAAAAAAATTGATCAAAGAATAATAGTGAGCTCGAAGTTTTATGATACATGAAGTAGCTACCTCCTCGAACAAGGGAGTACTTCATGTAGTCTCATCATAGTGTCCACCCCAAAATTCTTTCATAGAATTATGTAAAAGTATTCTAGAAATACATTCTTACTGCAGTGTACAAAGATGACGCGCTGAAGCACAGATGCGAAACTATTACAACGTGGTCATTATGGCGGCCGACATTACTTATAACTAAAGCTTAAGCTTATAGCTCAATGTTGGTCATGAAACCCACTTCGCCAAATAATCAACACGTAGCAAATCTCAATACATACCAAATACTCTGTTATAAACGAATACCAGAGTAGGTAATGTACTTCAAGTAAAGAAATTTGCAATCGTAAAACGTTTTCAACACGTTTCATCACCATTTCGTGCCGAAACAGCAAACGCGCGAAAATGTCTATCGCCCGGCCTCTGCACATCAGCCTCCTTTTGTCGCAAACATTTAACTTACCTCAAATTTTACACTTTCTGCTTGTTTAATTTATATGAAAGGCAAAGTGATTCCTAAGATGATCCACTTTGTGTAACTTCTATAACTTAAATTCTTTGCAATTGATTGCAAGAACCTAAACAGAACTGAACTCAAGCTTCTTTTGCGGAGCTCCTGTGCTTTTTAGTAAGCAGTAGTTCCCAGTCCTCCGTATAAGTTTGTGCATTGAAATCTGGATGAAAACAACTTAAAATATCCATTTTACAACCTTTTAAAGTCATATATTAATGGAAAACGACGAACAAATTGATTTTCTCAAGCTTGAGAAAGAATTCAGTCGAGCAGTTGAAGCAGATGCAAAATATCAACGCGAAAACGCTGCCAAGTTTCGTGCAGTGGAACAACGCGTTGGAAGTTATGAAGAGTTCAAGGATATCGTGGCTGCATCGCATTTGAAACCTCTAGAAAAGAAAGACAAACTAGGTATGTTGTATTTGTATCAATATATATCGTGAACTACAATTTTGGTTTTGGGTTTAAATCGACTGCTTGGGCTACCCGTTCACAGCTTATTGACTCTAAGTACAAATTATGGCCAACTTCATTCACTTCATTTTGAGGGTATTAAATCAATTTTTGTTTTGTTTTGTTTTGTTTGTTTTGTTTGTTCTTTTAAGTACACTTTTTATACAAAATGAAGCGAATGTCTTGGACTATATAAAGATATAAATGTATTGTTACTATGGCAACCTAATGCTGTTTGTGTGTCTGGGGAGGGTGGGGGGAAGGGACCTATATTTGCTATTCAGTACTTGCCAGATCCGGACAGGGTGTCAAATTTTGACATTTTGTCTGAGATACGGCTGGTGTGTTTTCATCCAGAAGACCCTGGGTCACGTTGCACCATATTTTTTTTATTATTTCTGGCACAAGCACAGATTAGCTTTGCTTCTTGTTCAAGTTTAAATTCAAGTACTAGTTCAAAGGTAATCAATGTACCAATTTCTAATATTATTATTTCTACATTCTTCAAGGCCAAGAGAAGTTCAAGCAGCCCTGGAATTCTTTAGCAAGTGCACAACAAAAATCAGAAATATCTGCCTCTAATCCACCATCTGGCAAAGAGAAACAATCTAAATGCCCAAAAGCACCTCATAACTTCACCAAAACATGGAAACATGAACTGAAAACTGCACAAGATAGATTTGACTATCTTTGTCAAATAGGAGGTCAACATCTTGGTCAACTTTTCAAGGCAGAAGTCCCTATGGGCTTATTTGGAGAAATTGTTGAAGTCTTAAATACAAGTTTTCAGCCACCGCATTGTGATATAGTTATTGACATTCTTAACCACTTATCTACAACAAACAGATTTAATTTGACTGCTGAATTTCTTAGCAGTAAAGAAAAAGATGTTCTCAAAGACTTGTTTAGAAAAATTAATGACGTTCCTTGTGATGACAGCCAAGAAAAGAGAAGAGATGGACAATTGAAAGAACTGATAATAGCCTATAAAGTGAACCTTTAGTTCCTTCCTATGGTAGAACACATTTGAAATAGAGCAGAGTCACTTGAACCATGAAATAGAAACTAAATATTTAGTAACTAATAGGCACTATTTAGACACTATCACTGAACCAGAACAGTACAAAGAGATTACTTTGATTGTTATAGTGTTCTCTTGGGTATTGCTTATTGGATCAAATAAAGTGTTCTGATTCAGTGCTAATGACTATTAGGAGCTAATAGTACCTATTAGTTAGTACTTTTTAGTTTTTATTTCATGGTTCACGTGACTCTGCTCTAGGCCTGGCCTCTATACAAGCATATTTTTTAACATACACAGCAGTATATTTAGGGGACAAGGGGACGGGGGAGAGAGGACAAGGGAATGCATAGGCCAGTCCTGGATGTGTGTTCTGATCAGGTGTTTTGTGTGATCCTTGTTGACATCTTACATGTATGAATGGTTTTGACATATTGAAAACCATGCAGTAGAGATGTTGGTGAATCAAGAATTAGACTAAAAGGTAATAAGGAATTCATGTGTTTACTCTCATTAATTTGATCATGCGATGTACACAATATTCTTTCAAGAGATCCTATTAATAATAGTTATTTCCATATTACTATTGTATTAAGTACATATTTTGAATTTTCAAACATTGGAATTTCTTGGTTACAATGAAGACATTGAACTAGTCTGTATGATAAAATCAAGATATAATAAGTTGCTGAACTGGAAATGAAGAGTATTGATGCAAACTCAGAGTGGTTTTCTTTAACCTGTGAATTGTACCTGGTAATGGTCAAAGTCTAGAATAAAGAGTAATAATGTATTGTATGCTTAAAAGTGTATTTCAAAGATTAATGAGAACCACTCCATTCTGACATTCCAATGCAATATCTTCACAGTGTTTACAATTCCTTTTTTTATAGCTATTGTCATTTGAATAGAGAAAATTGATAGACAATGCTCAATTTTTGTAGAAGTTGTTTCCACAAACCCATAAAACAAATCTAGAATTACAGAGTTAATTTGAGTATCAAAGAAAATGCAGTAATGTTAAAATTTGACAGTTTTAGGAAACAACTACAGTACAGGATCACAAGCATATTGTCTAATGTAATTTTTACTTTATAAATTTATCATAGAAAATAATGGTTATTCAAAATACAAACTATAATTTACACCTTGCCAAAAGCTCTACATTACATTTCACAAGACATTTGTCTTTTGAAATTTTCAATAAATACCACAATAACCTTGGTATTAATAATTTAACATGCTATAAACAAGTTCATAGAGTGAATTCAATTTATCTGTAAAATACTTTGAAATGGCACACAATTATGTCATTTAAAAGAACAAAGGCAGAAGATCTTGTACTACTAATTATTTTGCACAATTTTGTTTTCAAAGTATATCATGGATAAGAGAATGTACTCTAAAACTGTGTCTCAAATAAATGCTATAATGAAGTAATTCATACAGTGTTAACACCATTCAGATTATCATTACTGATTCAAACAAGTCGTACAGTATGATTCAATCATGTACAGTATGTTCTCAATTTTTCGTATTGAATTTCAAGAACAAGTTATTCTTTTTTTACAAAAATTTGATGGTATTTTAATATTGGCATTTGCGTCCAAGTGCTAATCAGCGTCACATATATTATGAACTTTAATGAGTATGAAATAGGTTGAAAAATTCATGATTGACATGCATCATCATCATCAAACCTCAGCATTTGCACATTTTTTAGACACTTAATATTTAAAGCATTTCAACTACTTTTTTAGCTTAACACAATATATAAATAAACTAATTTCTAACAAACAACTAAACTACACTACAGGTACATTCCATTAATGAGGTAATCTGCATCATCAGTGGCAAATGCTTTTCTTCTCAAACGACTCTTCATAACTCTTAGTCGTAAGGCAACTACGAAGAGCAAGATAAGTGCAACAACGAGGAAAATTGCTAGTGGGACGACTGCTTTGTTTTCTACGATACGAAGATTGCTTGTTTCAATGACGACAACATCTGAGATATTACCAGCTCTTCTGCTTTGATCGTCAACTTTTGGAGGGATGTATGTGATAGGCCTTTCTTCTGAAACAAAAATATTGATAATAATGTTAGGACTTGTTAGGGAGGGGGAGGGGGGGGGGATTGGTTTTGTAAGGAAAGGGCAGTGAACCCCTTTTTTGTAACCAAAGAGTTCCTACAACTCCTAGTCCATGAAGTAACTACTAAATCCTCCATTAGTCAAGTTAAAAAAAAAGAATTAAATAATAAAAATTAAAAATAAAATAAAATAAATTGACATAAATACCTATGGCAGGTTTGGTTTTTGGAATGACATGAGGTTTGGTCATCTTTTTGGTTGTTTTGGGTAATGTTTTGTGTGCTGTTTTTTGAGTTGTTTTCTCTGTTGTCCTCTCTGTAGTCGTTTGTGTTGGTTTTGGAGTTTTTGGTTTAGTTTGAGGCCTTGTGTACTTTGGATTATTATCGATGAACTCTCTCCATTGATGGAAAGTTGTTGGTTTCCTGGTGGGCTTTTTAGTGGCTAATTTTGGTTTGGCATATTTTGGGTTGTTATCAATGAAATCTCTCCATTCATGAAGAGGTGGGTCTGTTACTTTCTTTCCCATCTTGTTATCCCAGTCATCAGGCATTGAGTTACGTTGATGTGACGCTGGTTTATTATTTGTGTATTGATTCAGATGAGTTTCAAGATTGCTGTTCTTGTTTGCCTGGTGTGCGGCAGGGTGCTCGGGCTTGTTATTCTGTAAACGATCTATTTGTCTTAAGATATCTTGCTGAGTCCATTTACTGCTAGTGGAATGCAATGGCTTGGGCTTATGGTAACTTCCTGATTCTAAAATTTATAATAACAAATTAATGAGGATAACATTGAAAAACAATATATTACTATGTGGATTCAAGACAAGATATTCTATCTACAATCAATTTATATACCAGCACTTATTATTTTGATTTAACTGGAGGCTTCTCATTGGCTCGATTGCGTAACAGCAGCTAATATAGTCTAATATATTTCAATGTTTTTTTTCACATTTCATAATAATTCTGATATTTTTAGGTCACACATGTTCGAAGATCTTCCTGTAACTTCGAGCTGAGTTATGACCATATAAAAGCATGYCGTTTTGTTCATTATTTCGCAGAAGAGCTAAACAACTGGCCTTCTATTTTCTATTATAATGTAGGAATTTCAAGACCAGATATGATATAGGAAATATAGTCATCTGCTAATAAGGAACCCAATGTAATTACCATAACATTTAACTCTATCGCCATCATCATTGTAGAATTCTGCATGACATGATCCACATTCACTTTTCTTGCAAGTAGCCCATGGATTACTAGGACATATCTCTGTATCACAAGGGTTTGAATAACATCTAACATTTGGGACTCCTTCAGGGCAACCTATGACAAAGAAAAGATGGTTGGGTAGATTCTATAGTAGTGACGAATCCATCAAACAGAGTGTTTGGATTTTTTTTGTGATACATTTATTGTCATGCATATAGTTATCAATGTATGTGATGACTATATATTATTGTTTCTCATTCAATTCTTAATCCAAAATTTGCAATCTTGATTTTTTTTTATGATTTGCCAATGAACCTTAATATATATCATCAACCAAAACAAACTCCAGTACAAAATATAATAGAATAATAACATTGCCATAAACTATCAAATAAAAGACAGCAGCATCTCAACATGTTATAAACAACAAATTCAACTTGGTCGTTTTAATCAATAAACAGCACACTTTTAAATATAACAATGAATTATTGATGGTGATAATCTTATAAATAAATAAAGCTCTCACAATAAATACTTAAAATCTCCAAACGTTTGATTTATATCTTTTTAACTGATAATGAAACTCTCTGCTTCCTGTTTTAATGTCATACTTACGTTGCACAAATTTAATGAAAACAATGATCTATTCTTTTGAAGTCATTTAAATACTCTGATACCCTTTTGCATTAATTTCCATGGAAATAGTCTAAACATTAAGGCTTTAATCGCCCTGATTTTTCATTTCAAGATTTAATTTTTAAATTGTTGAAGATGTTGTTCCCGGGATAAAGTAACTATCTTTTTTGCTATTCAGTTAATTTGGCCCTGGGAGTGTACGTAGAAAAATTCGAAAGAACCACAGAATGACAAATGACTTTGTCGAAGTGAAATTCTCGCCCTCGCTATAAATGACAAAACGAATATGACTAATCAAAAATTGCATCACTTCTTTGTACATCATTTTAACTTATTGTTGTAATATTTAAGAAAGTAAGCTTTTATCAATCATTCAGGTAAGAAATAAGTACCACAATCTCAATTTCTATTTTTTTTACCTCCATTATTCCACCGATGGTTACTTGGTTTTGGCTGATTATAAGTGTTTTTTCTCGTCTCATCTTTCCCAGGATTGTCCTTCTTCCTTTCCTCAAATGTAATTGTGGCATAATGTTTGTATGAAGAAAAAGTACATCGACTTGGCGAACCACAATCAAATAGATAACAAGTTCGTACAAGATGGCCATTTGAGTCGTTCTTGTATGACAACATTCCCAAATTACAACCACCTTTCTGACAACATAGTTTATAACATTCACGGGCTGACTCGACCTTTTCCTTCGCTAGATATTTCGCTCCATTATTCAAAGCCTCTTTTGTTCTAATAATTTGGTCCTTCTTCACCTTTATTGCAGGACAACCATCGTCTTGCTCGAGGAAAACTGCTTGGAAGATGGAAGCCAATATGATGCACGACAAAATGTATTTATACGCCATTTCTGGCTAGCACTCGACTGGCATCCAAACCAGTTCGAACGTTTGAAAGTCGTTAATAATCCCCCTTTGAAGTTTTGGAGGGAAATCTTTCAGTCACAGATCAAAAAGTCGTTGTTCTCGCATTTCTGGATTTGGATCACAACACAAAATGGCTTCGCTTCTCAAATTCCTCACACGTAATCGGATCACTCGTGGCATTGCGCATGCGTTGAAGCAAAGTCTTTTATTAAATTATTCTATTTTTACAATTTTTGACTGACTTGACTGTGTTTTGTTTTCTTTTAAAGTTTTTTATTTGCAATTTAGATCTATATTATAGCGTCAAACGTCTTAAATTACTTTGAGATTATTTTATTTTTATTGATTTTAGATCAATTTTAAAACCAAACACAATAAAAAAACTCTGAAAAATGTCATGATTTTCACGTACGTGCATCAACAAAAAATATTTTTAGAGAATTTTACAATTAATTTTAGTAACTTATGACAAATATATATCCTTGGTAGGGGTGGGGACACAAATGAGATTCGACCGCTGACTAAAATATTGCGGATTCACTCACGTTTTCAAAATGGCAGCAAAACACTTCTAATGTTTGCTCAAGTAGTGTTTAAGGTAAATTTCGGTTAAGAAACTATTTTTTCGCGCCCTCACGACTTTCTCGCTTAGGCGTCAATTATAATCTTATGTGTAATTTCTCTTGCTACTATTTTCTATAGGCTATTGACCTGGTTAACTCTTATACACGAATGTTTGAAGGTGGAACTGCTTTTGAAGTTTTTATACGTTGGACCAGTATTCGTTCAAAGCTCATCGTAAATTCACCGTGACCTTGTAGAGGGACCATGTTTAAGGTTTGCAAATTTTTATTGGAAATGGGACGTTTCTTGGTACGAATGGTCTAATGGTCGTTATCAGAGGGGCATCCAACGTTCATCTGTCCCGGTCGTCATTTATACGTTGGTAGGCTAACTCGAGACCAAACTTGGCTTGCTCTTGGAAAAATGTCAACTACAGCCAATGAGACGATGTCGGTTTCAACTACCGGTTTCTTTTGTGAGCTCTGCAAGCTCGACTTCACTACGAAAGAGGTAAATTTTGACGGTGCAAATGATATAAACAATTGTGATACATTTTTTCTTGCACGCACACACTTATCACAACAGCTCAAAGCCCTAGCTAGAATATTTGGGGTAAACATAGTATTAGCTATTGTCTCTGTAGGATCAGTCATTGATTCATGTTGTTTTTATTAATTGGTTTAAATGTGAATTCTTTATCAAAAGATATTTTAAAGCTCAGTGTATAAAAAAATGCTATTTAGAAGGAACAGATTCTAATTTTTAAAACTTAACCAGTAAAGTATTCTAAGCTATCTTCGATCAGAGCCCAAGCATACCTTTGAAGCCAAGAATAATAGTATCTTTGAAGGAAAAAAACAGAACAGCATCCATTTATTTAAAAGGTGTCAGGAATGAGGGAAAGGTTTGTAATACATGTCCCAGACCAAAGGGGACATTCAGAGTGACTATAGAATACCAGTCCACTTATACATCCTTACCTTGGTTACTGTACCCGCTGTCGTTAGTACTTGCAGCTGTTTGAGAATGAGACATATATTAATAGTTGTATTATAGTTGTACCTGTGGTTGTTAGTGCCTATAGCCGTTTGAGAACGAGACATATAACTATTTCAAAAAAGGTTGTCGGATAAAATGTCGATTGTCGATGGTCGAACGGTGATTGCATGACCGAAAGCAGTCATGGGTTTTGGTAATTGAAAAGCCATAACAAGTGATTTATACTGTAAGATAGTCTGTGGTAAACATTCCCTCCATTTAGTCTCCATTTCTATGATTGTAAGTTGAATCCAATAAGTAAAAATTTGTTGATCAAAACAGTGTAACAATAGTCCCTTTCCACCATGCAATGTACCTTCGACAATCGCTGTTCGCCGTTCTCCCCGACAACGTTTTTTGAAATAGCTGTATATATAGGTGTAATATAAATGTACTGGTGGTTGTTAGTGCCTGCAGTCATTTACGAATAAGACATATTTAACAATTAGACCTTGAGGTCGAGTGGACTACAAGTTAATAGCCCACGAGGCCGAGTCCGCGAGGCCGAATGGGCTATTTAACAATTAGACCTCGAGGTCGAGTGGACTACGAGCTAATAGCCCATGAGGCCGAGTCCGCGAGGCCAAATGGGCTATTAGCTCGTAGTCCACGAGGCCAAGAGGTCTAATTGTTTTAGTATAAACATACTAATCGGTCAAATAATGAAAACAAATTGAAATATCCTCAAAATAATTTATTAATGAGATGCCGCCATTTTGATTTTCCCGCGAGTGGTCTATCACAAATTAGACCATTAGTAGAGTAGCCAATCACAGCGCAGTATGAGTGATAGACCGTTAGTATGTTTATACTAATAGCTCGTAGTCCACGAGGCCGAGAGGTCTAATTGTTTTAGTATAAACATACTAATCGGTCAAATAATGAAAACAAATTGAAGGTAGGGTACTTGATCAGTCTACTGTTACTGCTACTGCTATTATATCTTCAAAGTGCGTAATACATGTATCCCTTTATGTAGGAATTAAAGGAGCACTGCTGGTCAATCCTTCATCATGGTAAACTAAACAAAGCCAAAGGAAGGTCAGAAATAAAAGCTGTTTTAATGTTATTATTTTCTTCATTCCCTCACCATAATTTCCCTTGTTTTACGTCTTCAATTTGTGGCTCTATCAAAGTTGCAGGCCAATGTTGATTTGTGAGGTTAAGTTTTCCTTTCTCAATTACATTGTATATTGAAGAATTTTTTCAGTACTTTTGGGTTACCTGTGTATTTTTAAAAAGATGGGAGAATGGGATAAGAAGGAAAAGGTTCATCCCCTTGGTGTCATTAAAGCTGGAACAAGGGAAGCCCATGGAGGGGAGCCCATGGGGGGGCAGGGGGGAGGGGGGGGCACAACTATAGAAATATATTTAGACCTTGGAATCTAATCCCTTCTTGAATATCAGATAAAATCATGCAATTCTGCAGGTTTATACCGTTTATAGTGTCAATAGATTAATTACACTCCCCCAGAGGGTTCTGTTTTGACTGGGAATAACATTATTTTGAAAACATTATATAGTGTTTTGATGGGATCGTGAGTCAAGGTTTCACTACGAGTGGGTTGATTCCATGCACATCTGCACCCCGGGGGGGGGACTCCCTAATATCAAAGGGCGGGGGTCCTCGGCGGAGATTATGAMAATGACCCCTAAAAGGGACCTCTATTGTGAGATGATAGGCGTGGCAGTGCTGAAATTTCAGCCCTAAAAGGGACCAATCAATAACGGGTCATTTTGTTTTGGTTTCCCAACTTTATTTATGTTTTAACACAATCATCGAACACTGTCGGCTCGCATTGAGTTGATGATGACGTTGCCATTTTATGACTGCTTAGGGTCGCCGTATACCCTAAAAGGGACCACAAAACACAGTTGGCAGGAATTCTCGTCATTATCACCCTAAGCGGGACCAAAATACTGATTTCAAACCCTAAAAGGGACGCCGAGGACCCCCGCCCTTTGATATTAGGGAGTCCCCCCCCCGGGATCTGCACAATTTATCAACATTCGTTAAAAATACCTATCTAAAAATAGGATGTGTGCCTTGCATTACGTAAACGATTCACACTTCTGAATACTTCTCCTTTTTTTGTTCCTTCAAGTCTGTTTTTTTTTTCTGTTTTAATAATGGAATTATTATTTTTTATTTGAGAGGCTTAATCATATCAAAGCTTTGTAAAAACGCAACAAAATTTACCAAGTTCTTCGACATTAARACCATAGTTAGTTACAATGACTTAAGTGGATACTAATTACATACTGATCAGACACCAAATTATATTTGCCGAAGACAAGGATCATGGCGGTCTGTTTTTCAAATTTGATCTCCATTTCAATATCTTCAACTTTATAATTCATTTYATCTCAGAGATTGTGTCCATGAGTGCTCACTTTGTAACGAAACATTTACCGAACTGTTATCGTTCACCAAGCATCTCCATGGCGATGCTCACCAAGATCGGTACAATACTTGGAAAAAGGAACAGGTCAACCATTGGCAGTCACGCAACTATTCCCCAATCACTACCACCTCTACTACACAAAAAGATTTCTTAACAAACTCGAACGGAAATAGGGCTTCCGGCCATAATGATAAAGCATGCCAAGGGAGTTTCTGGGAGAGGCCCCATTGGCAGAATACGAGGTTTCGGAACCGGAACCGGAAAACACGTCACAACGACCAAGAGGCAGTTCCGGTTCGACTTCACACATTTCGAATTGAAAATTCTGGGACGATTACCGAATTGGGACATGACAATGAACATTCTGAAATAAACTTTAACATAGAAGAAGAGTCAAGCTTTAATGATTTTAAAGGTACTCGGAGAAGGTACCCCTCACGAAATGATTTTTATCAGGCTTCCGAAAGGCCAAACACAAGAAACTGGGCTCAATCCAACAAAGCACGGGGTGATGCCCTCGGCAAATCACATAAAGGGAGACACAAATCGTATCACAAGTCACATAAGCAAAGAAATCCAAGCGCCAAGAGACACAATAATAGTCGAGGATCGTCAACATCGTTCGACAAAAGTGTATCTAGTTTAGACGATGGTCTCTCGAGCTCTATGGATCGAACTAGAAGTTCGACAACTGGGCTAGGTGTGTCGACTAGAACGTGTTCTTCAGAGTTTATGAATTCACAAACAGGAAAAGGCGACAGGAGTAGCGCACCATTTGAACTCAAAACAGTGCAAAATAGCCCAGGAAACGAGGAAAACCGCACGAGGAGTTTAAGAAATCGAAGTAAGTATACCTGGATGTCTGATTCGTACCGTGCGACCTTAAACAACGACGGTCTTTTCTCCAACAACCAACTTTATACTGATTTCACGACAACTTCATCAAAACCAAACGAACAAAAATTGAAAAGCGATGGGAGTGGCCCCAGCCATTCCATTGTCGGGAACGGTGCTGACGACACAGAAGTTTTTACTTTAAAGGAAGCAACAGGTCACGACAACGGAAATCCGGGGGATTCCAATGCTGAAATCGTCAGCAATAATTCTAACAGTGATCAAAGTAAACTTGAAACAACAGAGAGAGTACCGTTTGTCAGCAAGAGGCGCACGCGATCATCTTATGCTAAGGGAAACGYAAAAGATTTTGACATGACAATGGATAAAGAGACCGGTTCGAAGACAAGACATTACCTCAGTTCTGACACAAGCAAGCATTCAACGACAAGCGAATCAAAATCAACAAATGCAAAACTGACGAAAGAGCCAAAGATTAACACACGACTTCGATCGCGTTCGTCAAGCGATGATTCGACTCTGCTGTCACGACAAAACACCGTTCGTTCGTCGACCAATTCAGTCACGCAATATCAATCCTTGCATAGACCTGGTGGACTAGGGTCTTTGGAGTTTACTTCAAGCAATCTAGCTTTAAAAGAAACGAAATCCAAGGAAACACCTTCGCAAAACGGAGACAAAGACAGCCATAAATTGTTGGCGAAAATCAAAACGGAAGGCAGTGATTCTGCTCTTATGGTAAGTTATTGTTCTTCCTTGTGAAGCAAATTAGACTAGTCATTGATTCAAGGTCACGTCCCTTAATCTCAAAGAGGAACTGACAATAAGTTTTGACAAAATCGGCTAGTTTTACGAATTATGTTGGCATTTGCACTTAATAAGTTGGGATTTGAGTTCGGATTCTTATTTTATAAATGCAGCTGATATCAAAGCTGATATATATGTATATAATTTCATCAGTGATAAAACAGTATTTCAGATGCGATAACGAACTATGATATCAGCTCTACTCAATTGTATATACTTTATCAAGTTCTTACATTTTAATAATGCATTCAATATTGAAGGCCTAGCTRCCAAGTTCATTTTAATCTCAAGTTATGTTAACACCCGAGACTACATTTTCCAATGTTTCGTGATGGAGCGATAAACGCTGGAACACCAACAAAGCAGCGGGCATGGTTTTGCGACTGCTTAGATAACCTTTTGATACTGATAAAAAGCAAACACAGTATATGTGTAATATTCTATTAAAAGCATCGCTCATGCCTCTAGATCTAGAAATAATATTTGAGATCACGACTTCGAAGTATATTCATATGTGTGATGTYGTTACAGAATGTTGATTCCGGTACTGTTAGCAAGATAATAGAAGAACAACAGAACTCCGGAGGTATGTATTTAATGGATTAAAAAATGTTGTAATTGTAGCAGTGTGGGCTAAGTAGAAGCAAAAGTTGTAGGAAAAGACTCGTCATTGTTCGTTTTGCTTGAGAAACCTCGCGGCCATGTTAAGATGTCATCATGGTTTACACTATGGAAGTTGCATTCATGCAGAAAAGTTTTCTAAAGTACCACACGGTCTTTTTCAGTGTTATTCAATAGCTAGTTGATAATGTGTTGCATGCGGTTTTAACACCCTTTTGTTGCCCTTAGGTGAAGCCGAGAGCAATACTGAATGCAGTTTTGTTCATATTGATGGAGTGCAATGCACAGCTAAAACCTCCGAAAGGTACGAATTGACATGTAAAAGATTAACGTTACTTATCCGTGTAGTATTTAAGATATCTTTGCATATGATACGTGCCTTTTTGAAGTAGTATATACACCATGCACTCGTGCACTGTTTCTAGACATAAAGTRATRAATTAGGTCGTTAAGCCTKTGAATTCAAAAAACCACTAATGCAGCTTAACAATGTAGTTTCTTAGTTAACCAGATCAGAAATATCGAGTAATCATGGTTCCCCTCCCCCTCAGTCCCTCCCCCCGATAATTAATTCATGTTAATTCTCAGGTTGAACAGTGTATCACTGTGGCTTAATTTTCCCATTTTACTAAATGTCTTCGCTTTTGTTGATCATGTTTTAAAAGGAAGCATGTATTTGAAACAAAGATATTTAAGTAAGACACTCTTTTCACACGTGATATTCAAATCTGATAATCAAGTTAGGAGAATATCAAAACCGCGCGATGGGTTTAATACTTCAGAACAATTTCCAAGATTTTACAATGTGAAGTTTTTATGAACTTTTTGTCATTTTCCGTCAATTTTTGATTTTTTTTTTACGTTTCATCAAGCATTCACAGAAATAAAACTTGATTGTGAAAGGAAAAGATACTTGTCATCATTAGTTCATTGCTTTTTTGAAAAAACAAATAGACTCAGTAAACCTCAAAACATCTTTTTATGTGGAATTTTGGCGTGAAAAAAGAGCTTATCGTTCATTTCGGCTCCCATATATCACAATAAATTATACTGACATYCCCTCCCACGTTCCTTTTCCGACCAAAACTGAAATTAAGCTACAGGAACTGAAAAAGTGTGATTCATATCCTGAATGTGTATAATTAGTTACTTATATCAACTCACAAAACTGATGAATATGAAGAGATAACTAGGCGCTGTATACCAATATGCGGACTGCGTCGGTGTGCTCTAATGCCACACTTGCTATGATAAGATAACACGATGAGTGAAAGGGAGAAAAGTTGGTGTCTTTTTCGGAAGTTGGCTCTTCATCGAAGGTCGAAGTTTTTTTTCCTACTTAAAATATTAAGAAATAACTTGCTTTGTAGAATTAACTGGCCGTTGTGTATGTTCCCAATAAAATGATAACGTAACGTTTTTTCTTTACGTTTCAATTTTATGTGTATTGTTATAAATAAATACTAGATAAATAAATAAATCAAACAACAAATGAATRAATCAATGAAAATCATTTACATGTAAAGTCATTTGCAAAAACTCTGACCGCGAAAGTTTAATATTATGTTGGATGCAACATGGGTAGTATCATGTGATTTTCGCTTTTTCTCAATAAAATACATCACATTTATTCGCATACTTTAAAACTGCGTTTAATAAACTTYATTCAAGCATAATCTACCATGTTATGACAAATTAAAGGTTTAAACTTGAAATATCAACAACCCTATAGTGATAAACTTTATATAATTTAACGGCCAGAATTTCTTCAATTGACTGTTTTAAGAAATAATTTTCTTTGTAGTATTTTTGGTCGTGCTATTTCATTAGTAGAATACGATATAACTATTCTTTCTCTATAGGTTTGATTTATGAATACATGATATAATAATAAATGAAAATATTATATACTGTAGCTAATTAAGTTTGAGAAGCAACCTCGCCAAAACATTTCATTATTTCTAAAAATTGAAGAATCCTCTGCGTTTACTTACTATTTTATTACCGAGATTTCGACCTAAGCGACCATTATCAAGGTAGAGTACACGTATAGGAAAGCTTGATAATAACAAAGCAAGTAAACGTAGAGGATTCTTTAATTTTTAGTGCTAATACCTGCGTACAAAGAAATCTTAAACATTCCATTATTTAATACCCTGCGAATAGCGTGTCATTTACCTTACCTTATTCGCGAAATTTTTTACTGAGGTAAGGTAAATCTAACACTCTGTTCGCAGGGTAATTACTTAATTAAAACACCAAGAGATACTTTGGGTAATGCAACTGACTTGGAGTTCTTATTCATTTGTAGATATTGTAGCTATCACAAGAAGTTTCCACAAGGAAATCTAATCAAAACTGAACCACAAGACACCAATCCAACTTTGTCATCACTTGACTTGAGTTCGACTACAGTAAATCCAGACACCAGCATGTCTTTTAATAGTGGATACCCTAGAATRAAAAACGGTTATGAAAGAAATCCGTCTCCAGAGAAAAATGTCGAAATGATGGATCTGAGCATGAGCACTAATTTTCTTTCCGTTGCACATTCCCACATGAGGAAGCCAAGTTACRCTAACTGGTCAGAAACTCGTTCATTAAGGGATGAGAGAGAAAAGACTGCTCCTGTTTCCTGGGCACGAACCAGTTCTGCTATCATTCTTCCCGCATCGTCACGTTCTGAGAATAAAGAGACCTTTTCCGCTCATGTAGTAAATGCGAATTCAAAATGGCAGACAAGCGATMATAGGGACGAGCCTATGGGAAACAAAATAGAGCGTGTCTCYCCTGCAAATACACCGCCTTCTCCCTCAGTGCATTCTCCTGCTCGAGAAGYTGGACCATCCGTCGCTACGTTAGATCTGTCGAGGTTGAATTTACCTCCAAATGTGCGTCGTGCTYTGGCTATGAAATACAGTGCTAAGAAGCCTAGTGAATGCGTGACTACTGGAAGTAACGTTGTACCAAATTTGAGCGCATCACGTAATCGATTTGTTGAAGCCAAAAAGGAACCTCGTGSCTTGTTAGAAAGGTTGGAACAGCCGAATGCTTTGTCTTATCAACCTCTTCCACCTCCTGGACCCTTACGAGCAGCGCCMATACGACAACAGCGAAGTATCAGCTTAGAYTCATATCCATCCAAGGTTGGCCCCTCCTCGTACGAACGACCTGGCTTAGTTCCTTCTAGTGAGCTATTTCCCGSTTCTGTGTACAATCCAACACATTCACCGTTACCAAAACCAGTTAATGCATTTTCATTCGCTCTCAAYTCCAAGCAATCCACCCTGTCTGGAAAACCAAAAATGATAGACTTAAACAATGCGGCGTATTTACCTCCAAGAAGTTCCCCCCTCGCCAAGTTCTCTTCTAGTAATCAAGCGAAAGAATCTAAYGCCATCCATTTAGAAAAACACGGAATGACTGAATTGAAYCACACCTCGATCRACAAGGAAGCAGTCATGTCCAAGTTGGCTATTCCTGCTCTTCGGTCAAAAATAAGGACTATGTCTACTGAACGAGACAGCGCCTACTTTAGGGGTGATTCAGCGATATATCATAGTAAAATAGTACATCCCACGCTTCCAGKGTCAGAGAGAAGACCAAATAGTGCTGAGCTGGACCGCTATGTTGTGTTAGGATCTGGTGCTGTTACCTCATCCCAAGAAAGAATCGAAAGGCCTGTACTGCTWCCAGCGGARTCGCGCGTGGTKTTTGACTCTAAAGAAGGGAATGCTTACCGTGCTACAGWGGCGCAAGTTAGAAACCATATAGAACAAAACCAAMGAGAAGCAACGGCAATTGCATTAGAGTCCCATTTTCGACAATCCCTAAATCCAAGGGAACGYGCATCGAAGGAACATKGTCTAGTTGATCTTGGTTCTGTTGATCCTCAACAAAAAACGCTTTCCACACGAAATCTTCACCCCGTTGAATCTCATATCACAGTACCCAGCCATCTYAGGAAGCGCGAATCTACACAACCATCAATCGCAAATATCAACGATGCTGTTGCCAAACACGACGAGCATGCTTTGAAAAGAAAAGCTGCTGAACTCCACGAGCCTCAATTAAAGAAAAGAAAAGGATTGGACAACTCAACTGCCAGAGGACCAATGTCATACCTTCCTGGATTCGAAGTCCAGGAATTGTTACGTCTAGAACATCAGGAACAAAGCCAGTTAAAATCGCTCCACGATATCCAAGACCAGATTAAAGAAACTAAGTTAAAGMTGCAGGCCCTTTCTATTGAGTTAGAAAATTTGCAGTCCAAAGAAAGCAAGATTTCAAAAGAAATCGGTCACACAAAAAATAAGAGGCTTGACATTTTGCAAGGTGCTTTGCATAGAAACAATAGAAAGTCAGAAGAAGCAAGTCTTCCTTCAACAATYARCAGTGTTTTCACYAATGCGAAAGGCAGTGAGATGCCTTCGACGACGTCGGTGCAAAGTGTMCATCGTGTTATTCCTCACTGCGGAAGCACAGATGAAGCACCTTCTTCTACAGCCAATGCACACGCTAAACACATAGAATCAAMAAGTYCACAGAGCAGTTTAGAATTGTCCAAAACCCTTACAGACAGTAACAATCACATTGAARATTTATCACAAACTTCAGCTCCTTCTGTCAAAGTTAAGACAGAGGTCGTAGAAACAGCAGATACACTTTCCACATATCCTAATGGCGAAAAGACTACTCCCAGTGAATTATCAGAAAATCACACTCAAGAGAAGCAAGACACGGAGATGGSTGGYGATGYTGTTACGAGAGACGATGTGCCTACTCGGGACGAGCAGTCAAAGTGCACAGAAGAAAAACAAGTTGATGAGCATTTCGAGAAAAGTAAAAAAGACTTTTTGAACAAAATCAGGCAAGAACTKAATACTCCAAAGAAACGCCACCAGATGAAAAAGMACCGAAAAAAGTTTTCTGAAGCWAAAATCTCCAGTACAATTGCTGTWTCGCGAGATAAGCTCCTTTTAGTCCGTGAAAAAATGCGCGGATGGAAGGTACAACAAGATGGCCTTGATTCAAAYACACCTTCGACAAGCACGGATGATMGACCTTTAGACCAAAATACGCCGTYTTTAAGTTACGAAGAAACTTCTAATTTTCCATCCTCAGAGGTACCGATACGAGACACTGACTCTATACYAAAACCTGAGAAACCTTCTTCAAAATCCAGAGGTGCGGSCAGCTCTAGTAGGTCAGSAAGCAAAGCTGACTCGAAAAATAAAACAAAAGTTCGGGTTGTTATCAAAAAAGGACATTCTAGTGAGGTTAAAGTGAACTTAAAAAAGAAAAGAAAGTCTTCGCATCCAAACAAAGTTGACGATMGTCCAGCATCTCAAGAAACTCYACAMGCTGAAAAAAACACTGAAGAGCAGTTCAAGGATGAAAGTGAAAGWCCGTTGAATGTCGATACGGTGAGTTTATTATTTTCATTTAGTGGTTTTCTGATATGAATTTGTTTAGAACTTGTCCTCTTTCGTATTTCTAGGAGCAGGCAAAGACTCAGGGTTCGCAGTTTCATGTAGCCGCAGTGGAATCATTAAGAAAGAAACTTGAAAAATCAAATTCAGGTAACGTCTGATAAGTGCTAATTTGTTAGCATTACAGAGCAATAGGAACAATTTGTTATATCATGTATCAAGTAGGAAATCCCATTCATTTATTCATCCATTTTTTTCATTTTACTTCACTGATACAGTTAGTAAAGTCACTGTTACGTTCATTTTTTTCATTTTTTTATTTCTTCATTTATTCGTTTATTCATTCACTGATTCAGTTATTTATTCAGCAGTAAAGTCACTGTTACGTTCATTTTCTCATTTATTTATTTCTTCATTTGTTCATTTATTCCTTCACTGATTCAGTTATTTATTCAGCAGTAAAGTCACTGTTACGTTCATTTTTTTCATTTTTTCATTTATTTATTTCTTCATTTGTTCATTTATTCATTCACTGATTCAGTTATTTGTTCAGCAGTAAAGTCACTGTCGACATCTAAAGCAAGAGCATCTTCATTTGAGGGCCACACGGGCGCAGTGTGCGCTTTGAAGGTACTGCAAAGAGAAACTATAGCTGATGTTGAACCAAACAACAACAACTGATTATCAACAAGGGCACGAGCATTTCGTGCAAAAAAAGTCCTTCCAAAAAGCTGAATAATGATATAATATTGACATAATAAGAGGCCATTTATTATGAATTCATCATTTTGTAAACGCTTCATGACACTAGAGTGCAAATACTARAAGCGTKAAAAARTAATTAATAACMAAATAGCGATAAAAAGYGCAATRWAGTGTAGATGRGACAATAGAAAACAAAGGAATTCGCATAACTCACTACAATTAAGCATTATTTGAGTTTAGTTTTCATGGTTTTAGAGTGCACTCTATAAGAGAAGGTTTTGTAATGTTTTTGAACKAAAAAAAGAAAATTTAACTTACATTTAAAGTAAATTTAAGTCAGTCATTTTGAATGACTGATCCATGCTTGAGGTGGATAATCTATGTATTTAATGTGCGCATTTTTTGTGGCGTTTTTAATGATGATCAAGAGAAATAGAAAAGTTTCAAAAACATACGCGAATGTATTACTTATAAATTTGTTTTTTTAGATTTTGCGTAGCCTAGGCGGAAGAGAATGGACAGATTTGCTCATTTTTCTCTTCCCACCCATCCCTTTCCCTTGCTCAGGCTAAGTTTCATTCTTCAAATGTAACATTCATGTTGCCCGCAATAGTCGTATTGCTTCCACAGAAAGACTTGCTTCGTTAAACGAAAAACTGAAAATTCCATAGCTACTTATTGAATATACATAGACTCTTACTGCAATATCCATTGTGGACAATGTGCATTTTTTGAAGCTAAARAGCGTCAAAWCCGCGTGCACATGAAAACCTTTGTAACRTACATTTTGAGCGTTTATATATCTGCAGACGGATCATTTATAGCSGTCAAGAAATGCGCACTTTAAACGTTTTAAAGAAATGGGCCTATGGGCTTAGGTTTCATTGAGTTTTAAGAACAATATCCATATACAATGTAGTAAAACTATTTTGTAAACACCTCAGTTTGCTTAATCTAATACATACGTCAATGCAATTCAATTGAAAATAAACGAAAGCTTTCCAAGAGTTTATTGTGTTTTATTAGAATAGCTAATTTCAGTGATGTAACTACAACGTGGTCTTCCATCAGGTTCACCAGGGACGTTTATACTCCAGCTCTGCCGACAAAACAACCAAGGCGTTTGATATCCAGGTGGGCATTGCTTTTTATTATTATTCGAAAGGAGGAGGGAGGGGTAGGGGGTACAGGATTATCATTGAGGGGAGGGAGGGGTAGCATTAACCCAAGGCCCATACAAATGTTAGCGATGTTCGATAATTCCGAACAGGCCTATGGRAAACAATAAAATCATAATGCGAATTTTGTCATTACATAGTTATGACTTGGACATGTTTTAAACGGGAAAAAAAGACTGGCACTAGATTTTCCAAACAAGTGTTCTTTCACAGAAAGGAAGTAAAAAATGTGATCTATTCCAATGCTCATTATAATATAACAAAATGAGTGGCCCGATTCGACGCCTTATTAGCGTTCAATGTTAGATATCAGCTAATAAATATCTTCAGATATAAAGGAAGGTTTCTTTCATTGCACGCTTAACGGTCCCCTTGCTGTCAATGCGAAAGTACAGCTACATATCAAAATGGCGCAGGGAGCCGTGAAGGAGAATATTTAGAACCTCTATTCTACGAACAACACCATAAAATAGATATAACGTTTTTATGATCCGCGAATCCATCCGTATCGTGTATAATGACGACAATTATATAAACACGAACACTTTGACTGTAAAATCAATCAAGTAGTGTAAAGCTATGCACTGGTAGTTGCCTTTKGAAGATTACGTGTTCTTCAAAACTTTTTAGTCGCTCTCGATGTGCGCTATTTATTTTTCGGAATATTCCGCATTTCCGCGGGAAACTATCAGAGCATAATGCCCTCGATTCAACTAGTCTAGTTTGAATATATGTTCAGACGTGTGATGTTATTTTCTTGGCAACCCATCAAGCCGAAGAATGTTAACTGTTCTTTTTGAATGTTTAGAATGGAGAATGCGTCAAAGAGTATCTAGGTCATCACCACGCTGTTAACTGCCTCGAGGTACTTCATCTCATCTCGCTTGTCTTTTTATGATTTATTTTTATTGTTTATATCTGACGTCGAATTTTACCTGTGATTGTTGTTTTTGATACCTTATTTTTTGATACCTTTTGATACCTTTAGATACTAAATGTTTTAATTTTTGAGATGTCTAATATTCTGAAATTGAATCAGTTCTCAGCTTTTGCGGTTACCGACGGGACCTATCATTTGCGATATCGACGTCATGAYCACTCGGCGTTCATAATTGGAATATAGACATACATGAGATATTCATAAAAAAACGAACTTTAATCTATTGCATGCTATTGTCATTATTTTTAGATTAAAACATGATCATAATAATCATAATATAGGAAGGAATTTGGGAAATGATCGTGAAAACAAATGTTTATCATAATTCTCCCTTTCATTTTGAAATGATGAATTTAGTACTCGTGATTTTTGACCAAATTTAGTACTCGTGATTTTTGACCAAGAATTACGATTAGTTGTAAATTGAAGGTCTTGTGTACAGTTTAAGCTTTTGAAAACAAGGAATTTTTCAAAATTCGGGTTTAATACAGTTGAAATTCGACGTTTTAAGGTGTTTCGATCGTAATAAATAGCGCTTCGCGCGTATTTCTAAACTCCAACTACGTCGCAAATTTCGATTCCATTGCACTCAAATTTTCAAAATTTCTTAATAACATAATTGATATACTGACGAAGTTTCAATAAAATCTTAACCTAAAATTTCGAGTTGATTGAGCAAAATGATGTACATTCGAACAACTCGAAATTTTAAGTTAAGATTTTATTGAAA